AATTACTGGAAAAAACAGGTGCGCGGACAAAAAATCGTTGACGAAATGTCCTATAACCTTTACGTTAGGTCTCTCTCCGGGCAAACCTGACTACCGGCCACCAAGTAAATATGTCCGCATACGTGGTAAATTTGAAAATGCGTGTTACAAACTACGCAGGTTTCACGCTAAGGAGTGGATTTCAGACGTTCTTGAAGTGTCTAACCTGATTTTCCGGCGAATTTTCCCAATGAAAGTGTGTTTCAGTGTCGTGTATTCTATATCTCTTGCGTTTCATGATTTGTCGAATGAAAGGCGACGCCTAATGGCTCATAAGGCGTTCTTACTTAGCACGGCAGTGTAAGAGTGGTTTCGAGACGTGCACGCATGTTACGATCGTGAAAACACGTGTTGTAAGAGGGACGCGCCACGCTATCAGACAAGGAAGAATAGGAGAAAAAAATCAAAATATAATTTATATGCTCGATGAATGATTTAAAGCGTGTGGCGTGGCAGGAAGCAGAATTTCTCAAAGAGGTGCCAAAGGAAAGGGGTGTATTCGGAGAGGGCAGGGAAAGGCACGCTTCACGAACTCTGTCTTTTCTCCGGTTTTTTCTCCGCTAGAGTTACGCGCTTTTCGCTGCGGGTGATTCTTGCAAGTTGGTAACATTGTTTTCCATCCATTTAAATCTATTGTGAATAATCGAATCTAGGGAAAGCAACCCGCTTCGCAAGGTATCGATTGTTTTGCATACATTTAAATGGACGGAATCCCGTGTTGCAAACTTCATTGAGTCACCACTAGTTGGACCGCGTTAAGCAGGAACCAAGCTTTATCAGATATTGCCAAATTTATTTGGTTAGTCTAATCTTTTACATGAAAATGGTCATGCGAATATTTTTGCAAATTTCAGTGAATTTCCTGCATAGCACGAAACAAATTCCCTAACATTTTCAAAGGAATCCGCACAAACGTTCTCTTGTAAAAAATTATAAATTGTCCAATTAAATGTAGCAATACCTGATGTTGCTTGGTTCCTTTTTGCTCAACGTGGTCTACTTAGTCCAGTCAGCAGGACACTAACGTGCTAAAAATTAAAACCACCTTTCGACCGTTGCCAAATCTCCTTTTATAAACCACACATTTTCTGGAAAAACTTGTAAATGTAATTTTGCCAACTTTTAAAATAATTTGAATCACATTTTAACTTTAAGTACTGGGAATTTTGAAGGAAAAATTGTAAAAACTTTTCCAAAAAATGAATATTATATGGGAGGAAATTTGGCAGTAGTTGCAAATTTGGCAACACATTTTAATTTTAAGTACTGGGAATTTTGAAGGAAAAATTGTAAAAACTTTTCCAAAAAATGAATATGATATGGGAAGAAATTTGGCAATAGCCGAAGTTCATAGGGCGTTTCTCCTCAACACTGTGAGGTAGGAGTATACTGCCGTGCTAAGAAAGAACGCCATATGAACATTCGAGAGTTGCCAAATTTCCTCCAAAGGGATGTTTATTTTTGAGGAAAGTTTTGAATACTTTTTCTTAAAATTTTCAGAAAATTTTGATCAGAATATGGCCTAAATTTTCTGAGAAATTTGAAGAAAAATATTCACCAACTTTCCTGAAAATTGGTGATTTGTCACAAGAAGTTTGGTAACGCCTGAAGGTTCATTGGGCGTTTCTCCTCAAACATGTGAGATAGGAGTATAGTCCGAGCCCTTAAATGTGAATACGGACGCCGTGTCGATTCCTGGACTCTGACGAACTGAGCCCCCTCCCCTCCCCCCACCCCTTACCCCTTACCCCGGGGTCTTTCACGTCTGTTGAGACGGCTCGATTTAATTTATGGGTAAACGGAAGGGATATTGCGGGGGGCGGCCTCGAGCTTCTGTTCCCGATCCCTCCCTCCCCCGCAGGGTGGAATAGGGGGAGGGGGGAGTTTCTGTCCCTCCACGGTTATGTATTACGAAGATAAACTTGGTAATCCTGAGCTGCTGGTGCGTAATAGTTTAGTTCTATGGTGTGTCGATATCACCCGTCCGGCATTGGCAGAATCTCAGGCGCGGGACGTCAAGTGAGCGTTCTCCATAATTATTGTCCGAAGATGTTTCCTCCGAAGCTACGCTCACGGAACAGATTCACTTTGTCTCATTTGTCACTCAGCCATTCGATGGATCACTGAACAAGGAACGAAATGAGGGACCTTAATGTATGTTTCATCCTTGAATTTTCTCGTCGAATACGTGGAACAGCTTTAAGCATTTCGTTCTCGAGAATCTGGTCTGAGTTTTAAGATCAGAAGACCGAGTTTTGATATCTTTCAATATTTCTAAAAACTGTAACTATACAAAAATAGAAATTTTTCATTTATTTCATGCCGGCGTTCCGATGCCGTATTGGATTTTGCGAGATGCTAAGCTGGGCTCACTGTGGAGTGTAACCTACTGATGAAGTCTAAAAAGACCTAAAATGTTTTAGATCTCTCTGCGTAACTTCAGCTTAACATTCCACTGCATCTGCCTGAACTGAACACTCTTCCCCCTCCCCCTCAGTCTTGTAACTAAAGAGTAAGAAAATTTCTGTTTTTATTTTGCCTGTGGCACTGTGGCCTAATAATAGGTATTTAATTTATTCGAACAAAATATATTAAAAAAAAAAAAATAATAATAATAATAAAAAAAAAAAAAATACCCCTCCGACATTTTCTTCAGAGTCCATCCACTTTAGGTATGAGCGATTGAACAGCTTGAGTTGAATTATTTATTCTTTACCTGGGATGAAATATCGTCTTCGTCGTTGTAATTTTGTAGCTTTTTATATTAAGTTTGCAGCAGATGTTGCAGCAAATAGCGCAATGCGATGGGCCATCGTTATGCATTCCAGTCATTCCACGAGAGCCTTTCTCATAGAATACTGCTTTTGGTGACAGAAAAATAATCAAAAAGGCATCGAAAATAAGGAACCCTTGATGAAACCTTGAGTCACTGATTAAAAAGAACTCATACTCATAGATAAGGTTCGACATGATTCCCATATACCAAAAGGAATACTATATTAAAGGCTCGCGACTCGCGACTATAAGTTGAAAGAACGATGTTTTAGATGCGCTGGTGACTATTCTCACCGGTTGGCAACACTGTCTCTCTTTGCGTTTAAACTCAATTATAAAAATCGATTGTAGATGAAACAGACTGTTTTGCCCAAAATCGATTGTTTAATATAGAGTACCTATATTGAGAGAGTATGGCCACTGGAGTTACCACCTCTGATTGGCTCAGCCATCTTAGGCTGAATGGAGCCCTTAGGACCCAAAAATGGCGGACGCAATAAATTAATGTAATGCAAAATGACTCAAAATATAGTTTTCTTTGCTTATCGTAACGAGAAATTTACTCAAATGCACTATTGCGACATCTTTACATATTTTTAAGGCTAATCGTGTGCAATTTTTGAGAAAAATTATCTTAGATGTAGTAAGGTTGGCAGCAAGTGCGGTTGGTGATAACCGTCGAAAGTTGGAAATGACCACCCTCCCATCCACAAAAACCAAAACAAAGCACCGCCATTTTTGGGTCCTAAGCCTCTCCGTGGGGCCCAGTGGCCATACTCTCTCAATATAGGTACTCTAGTTTAATATAGATTTAAACGAGTGAAAAACAGTGCTGCCAATTTGCACGACTTCCCACTGCATGACACAGAACCCCGGGCCCGAGGCTGTTCCTGTTAAAAAAGCTTTCGTGAACCCAGTGTTCAATAGCAACCCTAGCAAGTGTGCGGCTATTCTGTATTCTTAACGTTTTGAAGGTTGAATAGAGCCGCCCACCGGAGGCTAGTTGTTTTGCCATCGTCTCCGTCCCTTCTTGACAATGTAAACTAGACACAGGACACTTTTGCTCTCCTCCACTCCGAGTTGTAAAAACAATGTCTCAGTCTCATCGAGTCATCTTTTTTTAGGGGCTCGCTTTGACAGTACACTCATAATTTCACCCACGAAAAGTTATTATTGAATGCAGCGGCTATTAAAATAGCCGAAAGCACACACTTCACACTTCCTGTTTGGACGAGAATAGACGAATATTGATCAGCTGTTACTCTCGTTCATTCTTCGATGATGTTCACGCACGTCACGATCCATACGTCAGTTTGACGTATGGAATACGGATGCATGTCTATTGGGGCTCTCTCTCTCTCTCTCTCTCTCTGAAAAATAATGGCATGCATTCGAAAATTTGTCGATCGAGTGTCGGCACATTCATTTTTTCAAACGTCTAACGGTGGTTGTTAAACATATCTGGACTCAGAGATTGTTCAACTTCTTTACCTTTGTTCATACTTTTGGGCATGTCTTCTCGCTGTCCTTACTGACTGAAGGCTGTTTCCATTTAAATCTTCCGTCACATTCGCACGGCGCAATGATACAACTATTTGAACTCTCCGGAACGCGTGAGGTATCTCGCCGCATTTGAAGGCGTTTCCAAAACAGCCAAGTTCCGATACCCTGATTATAGTTTTGCATAGCTCATATTCTTTTGTTATATTCCGTGCAACTTGTTTATTTTTAATCCTCGTAGAAAAACCACCCATTTTTAAGTACAATTCTAGCTGGAGCGCACTTCAGCTATGCATTCACCACTGCAAAAATGTCAAAGGAAATCGACACGCTCAGCGAGCATGGAGGCTATTTCCATTTAAATCTTCCGTCACATTCGTACGGCGCAATGATACAACTATTTGAACTCTCCGGAATGCGTGAGGTATCACGCCGCATTTGAAGGCGTTTTCAAAACAGCCAAGTTCCGTTATCAGAATAATCGTTTTGCATAGTTCATATTATTATGTTTCCATTTCTAACCACTTGTTTAATTAAAATCCTCCTATAAAAACCTGATTATCCTGACTATAAGCGTTTTATAGATCCTGATCTCACCATTTGCTCGTGAAACATACTAATTTTCCTCCCTCCTCTTTTTTGAGGGTCAATTCTGAATCTGAACCCTTTATTTCTCTTTTGTGCAGGTTCAGGAGGATGATCTCAGCTCAACAGACGATGACCATGGTAGAAGAGAGAAGATTCCTGATTTTCCGCCACCCCCACCGATTGATGGGAGTAAGTTGATTGGCTCGCATATACACTCTGCTTTCATTCTTTCGAGGTTTTTTTCTTCTTTTTTTCCCCTTGTTTTTGACAGTATTATCCAAAGTATAATCTATGATGGGTATAGAAATTAACATTGCATGAAAAATATGAATAGGTCCTCAATCAATAAAGTAATGAAAAATTAATTAAAACCAATGGAAAGGTTCAATCCACTTATTTGGGTCATATGAGGGAGCACCATGTCTAAGTGTTCCATTGAGCACAAATAATTTAACACTGAAACTGAGGGAAAACATTTTCAACTAGCTGTAATGTCATGAAACCTCACTTTCTTTCGTGGAAAAACTCGAGGTATCTGAAATTACCAATTCTTTTTCCATCAAAGACTGAGGAACAGATTCCTCTCATAAATGAAGATCATCAAAATTCCAACCTAAAATCTGCTTTCTCTTTTTTTCAGATTTCAGACTAGGACTCAAAGGGGAAAAAGGAGACCGAGTAAGTACTTATGTCAGATTTTAGCATTGCTTTTTAAATGCCAGACAACTCGTAATTAGCCGGGTTCTTGTTTCCAAGAGACGGCGCTATACCTGTAAAGTTGGTAATGGAGATTAGACGAAGTAGCCTCTGCAGCATTCACACTTGCATAACTTACTCTGCTGTGTGCTTCATGCTTTCCAATGTAAACTTCTAAAGGGGTCAAATGGAAAAAGTGCACTCAAAAACAAATAACTCTAATGTAGAAGTTGTTTGTTCCGTGAATTTAAATTAACCCTCTCAGTAACACGACAGCACCGGGAGCTGCCAAACTTGACCATGTTGCAATGTCTTACCTCATACGAGCATACTTTTCAAATCGGTCCAGCGGGCCGATTATTGACATTTATAGACAAAGCTATAGACAAAACAAACATAAGGAGTATAGAGCGATCTTATTGGTTGAAATGGGTGGTTCTTATAGACTTAAGGGGTATAAATGATGGACTAACTATCGGGTCTCTCGTGGGTTGCCGTTAGTTAGTCTATTACCTACGTCCTTTGTCCATTGCAACCACCCGCTTCCACCAATAGGGTCCCTTCAAATCCTTATTGTCTTCTTTGTCTATTTTTTTTTTTGTCTATCAACTTCAATAATCGGCCCTCGCCTCAGGGTATGGAAATCTCTCGCTCAAATAGGTGAATCTCGAGACGAGGACAAAAAGTAAAGTAATTCTCTATAAATCGCCAACGGCAAAAATATGAGCTCTTCTTCAATTCTTCAATAAAGTAGGTCTGTAGATGCTGTTACCCGAGTAGCATCGGTCAACGGAAAAATCGCGATATTTCGTAAATAGATTACGATTTTTTATATGATTTTCTGGCGACGAAATCGCTAAGATTATCAACATCTGAGCCATTATCCTCAATATTATTTCAATTTTATCTCTGTAAAATTGCGTTCGAAAGAATCGAAATTTTATCTCAGTTTATCTCGATTTTTGTTTGTTAGTATTGCGATAAATCCCCGTCGGTAAAACCGCGATTTTATTGAAAATTGTGCGATAAAATCGCAATTTATTGCAATTTTTCCGATAATTTTACAATAAATACAAGTAATAAAAGTTTTTAAGACACTGAGTTTTCTAATGAAAATATAAAGCATGACAGGAAGTCTACAGTGTCGCAAACGGAGATACGTGGTTTCGCACTTTAGGTCCAGTTACACAATCAAACTGAGCCATCAAACTGAAGCTCTGATTGGTGAAGAAAGACCTGAGGTGAGGATGCGACCAATGATAGGCCCAAATTGATGGCTAAATTTGATCGTGCTATCGACCCTTGAGGCCATCGCTATTGTTGAGTGAGACGAGTAGAAGAATTCTTGTTCCTAATTTCCAGTTCAGGACATGTCCCATATGACGATGGTCTTCTTCTCCCTCTTGTGAAGTTTACGAAACAGGAATGATGAATCTGAGTCAAATTACGGTTGCATCGTTAGTATTTTTTTGAGAAGCAATAAATCAAAAACGCGCAAAGTACAAACAAAGATATAGAAATCATCAGTGAATTTCAGATTTTTTAGATGCGCTCATTGTGATTTAAGAGTAATTTTTTTTTGAGACAACTCTTCTCTCTGCTCCTGTATAAAGTTGCAACATACTTTTTCTTCCGAGCGAGGGCTTTTGACCAAGCTGGCAAGCCTTGCTCATCGGGAGTTTTGCTTCAAGTGGCTGGAGTGGGAGTTTATATCATGTTTATTTACTTTTGCAGGGAGAATCGATCAGAGGACCACCAGGACCACCAGGTCCACCGGGACCACCAGGTCCGCCTTTCTCCGGCGGCGAGCACAGCGAGGACATCGGGTCGGGAGATGACGAGGTGAGCGCCACAGAAAATGTGCTTATGCCTGCACTGCTGTGCAAAGGAAAAACGCCGTATGAGCCTTCAGACGTTGCCAAGTTTCGTCCGATAAAAACCGAATTTATTGGGAAAATTGCGAATATTATTTTCCAAAATTTTCAGACGATTTTATTCGCAATTTAATCTAAAATATTCGAAAATTTCAAGGAAAAATATTCATGAATGTTGTCAAAAATACACGTTATATCAAGGGAGATTTGGCAACTCTCGAATATGCATACGGTGTTTTTCCTCAGCACGGCAGTGCATCAGCTAATTCAATCAGTCCGTTCATCTTTAAAAGTTCCCAAACGCTAAAAACCAATGAAATATTTACAGAAACTGTTGTAAATTTTTGCCCTAGGAAAGGGGAATGCAATCATAATTGTTACGCAATTGTATTTAAGGAATATCTTTCTTTTTTACTCTAGAAATAGTTTGAGATAGCCGCATTCTGCTATCACGAATACCATATTTCAAAAATTGCCTGTATCTTGCAATGCCATCAATATATATTTAACGCCTTCAGCGGAGCAAGTTATGCAATATGCAGTTTCGTGAAGGAGTATCCTGTCCAGGTGCGAGCAATTCCGAGAGGGATCAGATGCGCTGGTTATTGAAATTGATAGACAAAGCACTAGACATAATAGATGGAGGGAATATGGGGCGATCCTGTTGGTGGAAGCGAGTGGTTGCAATTGACTAAAGAGGTAAGTATTAGAATATAACTCACAGCAACGGACAAGAGACCATGCAACGGTTTGCTCACCATTTTCCCCTTTATTCCATAAGAACCATCTGTTTCAACCAATACTATCGCTCCATTCTCTTCATGTCTTCTTTGTCTATCACTTTGTCTAACGATTTCAATAATAAGCCCATTGGCGGTATCTCTACGAATGCACAGCATTCCTAGGTAATCACTCAGGCTACGCGTCGAGTAAAGAGCAAATTCGAAGGTACATTGTACCTGCATTTTGACCTGACGGAGTAAGTAAATTACTGGATTCTCTCACCGGATAACGAGAATTCAATGGATTGAAACGATTTTCAAAGAGACTCCTCGGAGCGGTGCAAGGCCAGAGGGCCAGGAAGAGTCTCTATCAATATTCAATGCGAATCTCAAAGGACTCGCGGATGGAGCGACCAAGGAAGGAGGGGGAATCTATATTTCACGCCTGCCTCCCAGAATGGGTCTCAAAATAATCCTTTATGCCTCGAGACAGGGAGTCCTAACGAATCGTATTTGACGTTTCCTCCAGATATTGCGAATGTATCTCTTAATGATTTCCCATCCCTAATGGATGCATGAACGTAAATTTGAGGGAATTTAATGCAGTCTTGTCCTTCCCGCGCTTCGTTTCGGCTTTTATTAATACGTGAACATTCAAGGATGCGCCGCATGAAATTAGGCTTGGTGGGATAACTCAATTTTCACAGGGTTTCGTATCCAATGGACTCATCTAGTGGCTAAGTCATTCTTGCATCTTCGACTTATCGATCACTCGATGTCTCTTCGATGTTTCCAATTTAAACGACAAAACACGATCTCCAGGTCCAGGTTATTTTGTGAAGTTCCTTGTGATGGTTCATTACGATTTATTCATTAACAAATCATATCTCAATCAAGGACTCATCAAATCTGAAAAATGTTAATTTCACGAAACATTTTTTACACGCGAGTTTCAGAATTTAATGAAACATATTTTCTGACTCTTTCCCTCGTAATATTTTTTTAATATAAATTGTGATACCATAATGGCTGCACATAGGGATTCCAATGAAAGGTTTCCCTTTTCAGTTTTTTTTTAAAAAAAGGTTTAAACATGTTCTTATTAATTCCGTAAATCCAAGTGCAACAGCCATTGCAGGTAGGGACGTTTTCCAGCAGTGAGAAACGAGCAAGACCAACCTAGAGAAAACTGGTTAGCAGGGCTAGGCTTTGCATTGAGTATGACCTCCAAAAAAAGTATACCATTATTTCTATTCGTGGGAACCGCTTTCATCTATCCTGCCAGATGAACGCAAATCATTCGGTGAAGGCCCCTTTCAGCTCTCTAGAGACCGATGGGTCGTGGTATAGATGAAGTGGACCGATTAAGTAGAATATTAAGACGAAAACCCTCCTGACATTTTAACTCAAAGACCACTCGTCATGTGACTAAGTGGTGAATGTATACCTAAGCCTGCAACATCGACATTTCTGGGCTGGCTCGCAATATTCTCTTTCCTGTGAAATATGTTTTCCCTCTCTGTGTTAATGAAAGTGATTCTTAATATGATTTTACGTTTATTCCACGCTGCAGAAGATCAAGGATTTAATCGTTAAGGTGAGTGTGAAAAAGATAACTTTAAAAAATATTCTTGCGTAGATTTGGTGCCAACTTAATTTCTCACCTTATCGCAGAAAAATTACGGCAGATTTTAAAGTGTTTAAATTGGTGTAACCACATGAAATAGGTGGTGGAAAATTTTCAACGTCGCAAATTGAGGTATGAATGTTATTTACCTCGCCGTCGGTGTTGAGAAAATGTGTAACTTCGCACGCGCTAGAGTTTAATCTCAGCGGTAATCGTGATCTGCCATTAAGTTGAAGCGACACTGTCGAAGGCGCCCTGAGCAACTATCCGTCACAGAGGTATTGCACTGTATCAGACGAAAATGAAGGCGCTCTGCCGTATGTGAATTATCAGCGGTAATCATGATCTTCCGCTATCAAGTCAGAGTAATACTGTCGAAGGCGCCCTAAGCAACTATTATCCGTCAGAGGTATTGCACTGTATCAGACGAAAATGAAGGCGCTCTGCCGTATGTGAATTATCAGCGGTAATCATGATCTTCCGCTATCAAGTCGAGGTAATACTGTCGAAGGCGCCCTAAGCAACTATTCCGTCACAGAGGTATTGCACTGTATTAGACGAAAATGAAGGCGCTCTGCCGTATGTGAATTATCAGCGGTAATCATGATCTTCCGCTATCAAGTCGAAGTAAAACTGTTGAAAGCGCCCTGAGCAACTATTCCACCACAGAAGTGTTGCACAGTATCAAATGAAAATGAAGGCGCACTACCGTATGTGAATGGACCACAAGACAAGGTACAAATTTAAGCATTCTGGTACATGTTTTATGACCAGAATTTCACGTAGAACACGATTCTTGCATCAAGAATTACTGAAATAAATTCCCAACTAAGAAATTAAAGTCTTTATATTACATTGGTCACGGAATTGCCCGGTCACAAAAAATCAATACTTTACGTGAGTCAAATCGTGCCTTACAACGATTTTAGCAGGCTCCTCAATCGCACATTGTTACTTTCCCACCCTTTATTGTTCAAAGTGTAAACAATTTGCTATAGCTGAGCCAAAGCGTCAAGATTGAGATTGCCATATTTTCTCATAGCAGAGACTGTCACTGGAGCGTTTAGTTTGCGATCTGGCGTACCTACGTAGACTAATACGTTTTCATGAGCGGGAGGTTTGATTCCCGTGTCAAGAAACATTAAGCATTTTGTTAAGGAGTTAATTTTAGTAATTTTCCTTGCGCGAGTCATGTTTTACGTTAAATTAAGAAATAAATACGTCAAAATAAATAAAGAAACATGTATCAGAATGCTTAATTTGGTACCTTGTCCAGTGGTCCATTGACCGGTATCGTTTACCAGTCGTGTATAGAGTGCGGGCATGAAAGGTTCCAGACTCTGAAACTATACATAGTTGAGAGACGGGCTCCGCGAGGCTAAAAGGCCGTATTTCATTGCAAACTATGAAGATAGTGCACGTAAGAACATTGATGGATCATGCGAGATTCCCACTTCTGACAGCCGTGAGTGCGAGCATAAAGAAGCATAAAAAATCCAGCGGCCATTGTGTACAAGTTATTCACGTGTCCCTCCTCCACAATGAGAGGACGAGACAAAGGCAGGTCCTCCAACGGATGCTTACCTTCATCAGAATATTTTCCCGATAATCTTTTTTGCCTGAGCATCCAATTCCCCCTTCCACGTCCCCGCGAGGCTATTTTCTCTCATACTCAGCGTGCACGTAAAATCAATGGAGCTTGCTTACGTATCGATGTCAAGGGGGTGGAAGAAATTGAGAGGGTTATTATGGCGCGTTAAGGTGGCCTCTGAAATTTGCAAGCAATCGCAGTTTGTGGGACAGCTTTTAGGTATCTGGGAGGGTAAACTCGCCAAGAACTTAATTGTTGTGAAGGTTTCCCTCCTGTGAAACTAAACGTGAAGTCGTTTATGACCAGGGTGTTTGATGTTTTAAACTGCTTCGGAAAACAATTCGAGATACATTAAGGAGTTTTGGTTAGGTTTCAGTTCGAATTCATGACTCATGATAATTTCAGTTTTTGGTTAAATTCTGGTTCCTGGTCGATACAAAATTCAATGTTCGATTCGGTTCAAGTTCGAACCGAAAAATGGAAATTATTTTTAATCGAAATCAAAGTTTGAGGATATAGAAAAAACACACATATAATACAGATTCTAAGTATGAACCACAAAACCAATGTAATATTTCTTGTTTTAATTTTCTTTCACTGATTTATTGCGCCACGCGTGAAATAACTGTACTTTAACACTAGTTAATGACTGTATACAGTAATTAAAAATTGTGGGAAACGACGATTTTTTAAATTTTTATTGAAGTATCTCGAAAACAGAGACCTCAATAATCGATATTTCTTTTCCTGGTCAACCTAAAAATATATAAAATCGAATTATCAACATTTCAAGATACTCGTTGCGCAGTAAAGGGCCTCAAAATTAACCCAAAATTGACTAAAAATACTCAAAAATGACGGGGAAAGACAATGTTTTACATACTAATTTATCAAGTATCTTAAAAATAGAGGCTTCAATCATCGTTGTTTTCATTCCAGTTCAAATTTATGGTGTATAAAATCGAATGGTCAACATATTATGTACTCATCAATCGATTGAGGGCCTCATAGCAAACCGGATATAGGCCAAAAATGGTCCAAAATGACGGATTAAGACGATTCTTAACATTCCAATCAAAGTACTCCGAAAATGGAAACTTTCAATATTTCTCCCTCAATTCAACCTTAAAATGTGTAAAATAAATTCATCAACACTTTCATACACTCATCGATCGTTTCAGGGGCTTTTATCGAACCGGAAATGGGGCAAAAATGACGAAAAAAATTCAATTTTCACATCCTTAACGAAGTATCTCATTACAATCACTGCTGTTATGAGTTTTATTTCTCTACTTCAAACTCAGGATGTATATTTTCGGAGGATTATTAACATTTCACAGCAATTTAACCGGAAGCGCACACTTACGGGCACGAGCGTCAAATTGAATTTCGCGGCTAATTTTCAAAACTCGCGGAATTAGAGTTTACGGTGGGGTCCGCCTCGTAGCGCTAGCTTCGTGGGCTCCTGCAAAAGTAAACAAAAACATTCCCACGTGTCTCCTGTCTTTCTTCTTTACTTTTTGTATCGGGCTCTGATTCGGAGTTAATTCATCTTATTTCCTTTTCTGTTAATAATTCTATCAAGATTTTTAAGCCTTCAAAAGTTTGATGATCGTTTTTTCAAATTATTTTAATCATGGAACCACGACTTTCTTAGTGTTAGTAATGTAAGTTTCTGTACCGATTCATTGCATTGCCCATTACTTCTATTATTACTTATTTCTATCCCCAAATTTGATTAAATAAGTAAGTATGTTACAATAATTAATAATTTTAATAATATATTTAATACAGAAGCAAATAAAACACAACCATACCTGAAATTTGAATGGAACATAACATTTCGACAGTGAAAGTCCGCAATCACATATCTCGTTTGCATTGTCTGAAAATCTCCGTCTCTACATTATTTTTTTAAAAAAGAGCAAATTGACGTCATTCCTTGAAGTTTTTGCAGAACTTCTTTTGTACTGAGAAGAAAAATCATAGCAGTTTTAGAGAATTGCTGTTGAGTAGTTTCCCGTTTTAAAAATAAAGTATGACAGGAAGTCTGCGATGTCACAATCCGAGCTATGTGATTGCCAACTTACACCGTCGATTTGAGTCTTGCATCAACCTTTCATGTAGACGGGTTCAGTTAATGGGTTAATATGGTTATGTACAAAACCATTACTTGAATGAAACTGTAACGAAAGGTTTAAGTAGATATTTCTGCTAAAATCCTATTGAAATACTTGAGACCCAACCATAGTAATCAAATGAGGCACCTCTAAAATTTCAATTATTTAACGCAGTCTGAGACGTCTCAGAAGAATGGCCAGGCCATGTGCACTAGGTAGGTAGATAATCCCAGTATAGTGCAACAAAACTATTTCAATAGGTTGCACTTTAATGCAATAAAACTGCAGTTATTCTTTACAGTGGAATTGAATGTTTTAACACAGTTTGGTTGACAACTGCCAATTTTAAGTAATCAATAAAATAAGTCCTAGGTATGTAAGTAGCAGAAAGATGAACAATATCCAATGTTCAAAAAGAAAAATTGCACTTCAGGTAGTTTTATTATAATTTTAGTAATATTATCTTTTGCAATAATTTTGCGAAAGAAAGGGCCTTTCGATTTGTAAATAGGCAGCATATGTAACACTTAGATACAGTGGCGATCATTTTACTGTGCAATTTCATTTTATTGTACATACGTTGGTACTTAGGTAGGTAACTGAAAATAAGGGACCATCCATTTGTTTCCTGGAAAGAGATTCTTCCAGCAATAACTGACCGACTAACACATCAGTTAAATAGTTTTTTTGAGGTCCATCTTACTTACTGTGTTCCCTTTTGCTTTTAGCTCCTTCCTGCCAATAAAGAATTTGACGGTAGACGTGGACTAGTCGGGCCACCAGGGCCTCCTGGAACATGTGCCTGCAACTTGACAACTCTCTTCGGTTCGAACAACATACCAAAGCTCCTGCCAGGTCCTCCAGGAATTCCCGGAATAGATGGCAAAGCTGGACCTCCGGGGACACCGGTTTGTATTTCTATATTGCAAACTATTCAGTGTTAAGAGTAGGTAGTTACTTAATCTCAAAGAAAGAAAAAACATTAAAACACAGCTTAATGTAAATAACAGGATGGTAGAATAGCGTTGCTGAGATAGCGAAGAGAGCCGTACGTGCATTCTAGAATGAGCCTCGAGACACATAGGAGCATGTGCTAACTATAGCTCACATAGAAATTCAGTTATGGCTCTCTTCGCTATCACGGCAGAGCGCTAGGCTTACATATTCTGTGGGGAAATGAGCGCTAGGAAAATCAAAATCAGAGTCTTGATAAACTCCACTGAGTTTCAGTGTTCAACTTAGGAGAAAGAGCTTTCTGAGCAGCGTTTATTTCTAATTTGTAGTATATGAGTCTGATGTCAATCTCTGCTCCTTTATAATTACTTGCAGATTGAATGGAAGTAGTTCCTTACAAATATGTTTATCTCACTTCAAGTAGGTCTACATGAATAACACAGCCAATTTTAACAAGATTTCACAAAAAATAAAAATAAATACATCCCACCACCCTTTAAGTAAGAACTTATGGTGAGTGGTGCAACCAAGGAACAACAACACAAACAAATTAACGTAACTATAATCACAGACTCAAACTACAAAAATTTAACAGAAATAAACGATAAAAAAACTAATTCAGATGATAATTTAAGCAACAATAAAAAAAAAAAAAAAAAAAATTACAAATATGAATGAAAAGCGTGAAGGAAATTTAGAAAATTCAGAAAAATTTAGAAGAATTTACAATTTTAGATATCAATTTTAGATACAAGAGATATATCTCCCACGGTGTCTATCCATGCAAATAGATTTCTTTCGCACAAATAGGTGGACATGTGGGTGTCTAATTACTCCAGTTTACTCTCTGAAAGACACTGTTTCAAGACAAACGCCGAGAGTTATGCTGTGATAGTTTCCATTGCTTGGCAAGAAAAGTATACTTAGATGTAGGATTCTTGCCCTCTTGAATTTTCAAACATAATTATTCATTTTTTTGTGTGTGTTTTTGTAGGGATTACCAGGACCTCCTGGAGAGCAAGGAGCAACCGGTCTTCCTGGCGAAAAAGGTGATCGTGGAGATGTGGGGGCTCAAGGTCCAGAAGGGATCCAAGGATCTAAAGGTATCAATTTGAGTTCCTAATTTGAAGAACTGGTCGGATTTAATGGGTGCCAGCCTAACATTTCCTAATTTTCTTTGATTTTTTATTTTTTCAACAGGTAACTAATTGTAAGTAACATTGAAACTTGAAATTTTGGAGTATATTCGCCATAATCTGGGTTGAATTTATAGGAAAATCAAAGGTGTAGTAGTTTAGCTTTTCGTTTAAAAAAAAAAAAAAAAAAAAAATGAGAAAATTCGGCAACATCAAATGCAGTTAGGTTGACTCTGCTTTAATTCGTCCAAGTATTCCTTTCATGTAACTGTTAAATTGTTTTCACCCATTGCATTATTGCAAGTTATTCGAGCTTTGTTATTTCTAGCAGCCATAGGTTACAGTTACTAGTCTCCTTTGATTGTAGAATTTCCTCTCGCGTTTTTTCGAAAAATCCCATTAACCTTTTGAATCCTTTAGTTTGCTGTAGGGCTGATTATTTTTTTAAATAAAACACATTTCAAGATGTTCTATTAAATAATTTTTCATTTTTTAGGAGAACCAGGCGTTGATGGGGCGCCAGGTTTGCCAGGCGCGCCCGGGCCACCAGGTCCTCCAGGACCGTATGAAGTATCTATCCATGACGTAAGCTTTTTGTCTTCATTGTTAATTCTTTGATATTCTATTATTACCTTAAAATTGGGTCACTTTTATTTGTACATTTTACTTGAAGTGCCTCAAATCTGCTCTCAATTAATGCTGAAAATGTAATGATTTTAAGAAAGCGATGCAAAATAATTCATGAACAACTCAAATATCACTTACTGTTAATCATAATTAGGAGCACCTTCTATTAGTTAATTGAGCAAGATCTTATAGAATTCCTTAATCAGTTATTTCTCTAAAATATTTTTTGTTGTATTTTTTTAAAAAATTGAGACCAGCAGAATGTCTGTTAATCTGGTATTTTCAAAATTGCCTCATGGATAAGCTTTGTCTCAAAAATATGTCTTTCATTTAAATTCATACATTTTCTTTCTTTTTTTCTGCTGCAACTTCAGCCGAGTTGGAAACCAAGACCAATTTACAAGGTAAAAACTAGATTCAATGAACTTAGATTGAAAAAGCATCTGAAATGGTGCAATGCGATCTCTAAAAAAAAAAAAAAAAAACCTCATTTTTGTTTTTCAATCAAAACTTTCAAATAATTTATTAAAGAGCAGTCCCAGACAAAACTAGCCTAATCTTGCGAAAATATATTTTTTTGCCTATCATCATAAAAATCAATCGTACTATGCCGGGCAAAAGTGCACTGTCCACAGAGCACTCACCCTTACTCAGAGTTTCATTTCAAAAAGAGGATATGGAATTGTCGAGACATTTAGCTTCTATCATACCAAAGCACTGATACTTTTTTACTTTTAAGTTCCAATCAGTTACAAGATCGTGCCAACGGAGTAAGATCTTGAAATTTCAATCATAAGTGAATTCTTTGAACTTAGATGAAATTAAATTTCAGGAGTCTGGAATGATAGGACTTGGCTCAAGTCTAGACGCAACTCTTGGAAGACCAGGAAGTCCTGGTCCTAAAGGAGAGCCAGGTATTGATGGAGCGCCCGGGCAGAAAGGAGATCGTGGAACTGCAGGCGCCAAGGGGGCTAGAGGTGAATCAGGTGCTAAAGGAGCTAAAGGTGATAAGGTTTGTAAGCTTGACATATTCCCCTCGCTAGCCAGCTATCAGTGCTGCATCCTTTAGAGGTGTGATTTTAAAATGAAATCATAGAACTAGAGCAAAAATAATAGGATCAAAATGGCAAGTTCATAAGTTAAGTTTAAAGGGAGTATAGGGATGACACAGTTAGAGAATACCAGGGAATGTCAGCGAATTTTGAAGCCAAGGAAAACCTGGAAATGTCAGGGAGAATTATGAGAGTATCCGGAAATAATTGTTGAAGTCGCCTTTATTTGCTTTCTAGAATCAGTTTGAAGTTTAGAACACTAATTTTGGAGTGATAAATATTTTAAATTCTGTCTTTTTTATCATCTGGCTCATCTGCAGTGTTATCAGGAAATTTCACCCAACTGTGTCAGGAGAATGTCAAGGGAATCCATTGATTGGAAATCATGACAGAAGATGCCATTCACCATCTTTTGAAGGGTAATATTATGTTAGTTGAATCTGCAGAAACAATGTTGGTACTTATTGAGCAGCAATTCTGTGAAACTTGAAAAGAGGGTTGACTAAATTGTGCAACAGCTCATTTTTTAATGGCTACTATTCATCAGTGTCTTGTAGTATTGTACTCGTGAATGATATCTTCTGGAATTCCAGGGACATCCAGGTGCAGCTGGAAAACAGGGGTTCAAAGGGGAACCAGGAGTACCAGGAATTGATGGCGTCCCTGGTACCCCAGGAGAAAATGGCCGTCCAGCAGAAAAAGGAGAAAAAGGTCAGCTATTTTAATTGTCTCTGGAACCCTTATGTGGTCCATTGTTTGCCCCAGCACAGGACATATCACTATTCCCAATCATAAAACCAGTTCATGATTGGCTTCTAAACAAAGTGTGAATCAAAGCACCGCCCAACATGCTTACTTTCCAAAATCCCATTTTTGGAAAACGAATCACATGACAGGAAGTCTGGAAATTTACCTGTAAACAGGGCGTAAGGGTTTTTAATTGACATGGGTAAAATTGCATAAATACAAAGGACATTTGTCATTTGTATCGTTTAGATCTGAGTCCTATTCACAATAATAATCAGAGTGTATTCTGAAGGTAGTCTGAAAGTGAAACTTACATGGCAAAAATTATAGGAATCTTTAGATTTCTGTAAGAAATCGAATCTAGTAACTGCAATGATTGCTATGAAATGACTTTTTGAAACCATCCTAATTCCTTTTCCCCAAGAAAAATGTTCTGTTATGTCCATTCAATCAACTGACGTCTCATATTATCTGTATTAAAGGAGACACAGGTTTGCCGGGACCTCCAGGTCCACCAGGTCCAGCAATACCAACATTTGGCTCAGATGATGAAACTATTGCGTCTCCCCAAATCGGTAAGATTTATTGTGTCTTAAATTTACTTATCCATGCTCATAAGTATTTATTTTCTTTTTTTCTTTTCTTTTATATATAAATAAAAATTAGTTTAAAGTAAACAGCAGAAAATACACATTTATTTTTCCAATTGAAAATTTAGCTCATGTAACTACCAACTTTAGGGCAACGAATAAAACTCAATATTTAAATTTTGAAAAGAAGAAAAATAATGTAAATGGTATAAATATCAATATCGTGAAAATTTAGGTGCTAGGTCAAATTTAAGTACCAAGTTAAAAATTTAAATTATTCCAAGTTAAAATGTCCAAAAACTGCAATGCCCGAAACTTTCTTTTTGCCCAGTGAGAGAGAGAAAGAGGATGAATTAAAAAAAAATCTAATTGTATCAGATGCTAGAGCACATCTCTGCAGTGTTCGTCTTTCAAAGCTGACATTTTCAAGAAAATTTCCATTTTACCTCAACACCAATTACCTAAAAGAGCTTGTTAAAAAATGATGAAAAAGCACCCTCTGAAGGTTTCAGGAAATTCCATCAACGATTTTTTGTCTGCGCACTGTTATGTCTAGTAGTTTACGTCCTCGCATGAAATAATTAACAGTGACTTGGCCCAAGCGTCATATTTTAGACGGTACATAAAATTATATTGACAATATCAAAATAAGAAAATTGAGAGCAAAGGAGGTGTTGTTATGGTAATTCAATTTTTAAATTGAATGTTACTTTCTTCTCTCAATTCATCTTTTCAAATTGCCATCGGTGAATATTTAGTTCTATTTCCATCCTTGAAATTTTCGATATGAAGTATACCTTATATTTCCCTTTCTTTAAATGAAAGTACCTATCACTTCCTCTTTAAAATATTTACATTTTTAAAACGTAACAATTATTTGTAAAGCCTTTTTCAAGCAATAGCATCGATAATAATCTCAATGAGCAGCAATTATGTTGAAAGAAATGTAAACAATAATGAATAAAAGAGGGGAGAAAACCAAGGAGTATGCAATCTTTGGTTTTAACCCATTTGTATATCAATATTTTAGAGTCAAATACATCCAATTTTGAGCGTTTGGTTGCGCTTACACCTCGCTGCAGCACAGTCAAAGCACAGAATATAAAAGAAAAAATTAAAGTGCTTTGGAAATCATTAAATTTGAAAGAGAACTACCTTGGATTTACAAAATACACATTAAATTTTCCTTTAATACATATTTTTTTTCCCCCATCAATTTCAATGAGAATAATCTATACACAGCGTGCAAACATTTCCATTCCATGAGTTGAAAAACGCTGACTCCGCGAGTTTAAATATTAGAGCCTAACACAGAGCGGAGCGGCGTGTTTGCAGCGCGGCTCGAGCTCTGGCGCCTTCAAACCTAACGGGATACTTCACGCATTGCGCAATGCGTGAAGTATCCCAGTTAAGTTTGTAGGCGCCTACGCGCGTGACACGCTGGTTGCCCGCCGCGCCGCGGAGTGCTACAGCGCTTCAAGCAACTATTTCGCGACAGAGGTGTTTCATGTTAAACATTACTGAATACAGGCACTGTGATTTATTTTTTTGACACATTTTTAGGGCTTAACAATTCAGACATGCCTAGTAACCTACTAATTTATCATTTCTTTAAACTTCCCTAAAATTGTATATGGCCTGTGTTATAAAATAGGGATGTGCACCTTCTACCTCTTTCACTTTTTTGCAATAAAGATCACTCTGAGAACCATGTTTTGTTGCTAATTCTGTTTTGACTATTTCAGGCAGAGAAATGATTTATGCCGGTGAAAAAGGTGACAAGGGTGACCACGGTGATAAAGGAGAGCCTGGTGAACCAGGTTTACCTGGCATGCCTGGCACACCGGTATGTTCACTACTTCTTTTTTTTTAATATCAATGTAGTGCAATATTATAAGTTAAGTTTGAACATACATAATGGAAACATAACAATCCTTGGGAGTGTTTCCTGGTTCTTTCAACAGTATTAGTGTTACATTCTATTCAGCTGAGAAGCTGAGAAAAGTTGGAATTTTCTGTAAAGCGAAACATACAGAGAATTAGGGAAAAACCTTGTGCTTTAGTAGTAATAACTACTAATACTATGTATTAAATTAATGTAGAAAAACGTGCAAATGTTCAGAGATGAGAATTTCAGACAGAATTATAATGCACAGGATAAGAAGCCTCTCTAATTTTTTTTAAATTTTCTGTAAAATGCACTCCGGTACTTTGTCATCCACCAAGACTGTCACATTTCCTTTGTTTGTAATTTTTTCCTTGTTTATTTTAATTTTACCTTTTTTGTAATTGTTGAGTATCCACTTTATTTTTACCAGTAACCTATCCAGCCCCCACTGAGACTATTATGTTCATCCATGCTAAGAACATTAGAGGAAAACAACATTGTTAAAAGCCAATAAAGTTAAAGTTCTTTCGAATGCAACCAAGATCAGTTTTCTAGCACCAGTCTCAGTTATCTTGAAACAGCCTTTAAATTTTGATGTCAATTAATTATTCTGTTTCTTTGATTTTTTTTAACTGCCATTCACCAGGGAGCGAAGGGCGATCTCGGATTGGAAGGTCCACCAGGGTTGCCAGGAGTACCAGGAACACCAGGACCTGCTGGACCAGTCACCGTTGTGAGTCCTGATGGAGAAATTGTTACTGTCAAAGGAGAAAAGGGAGATATGGGCAAGCGTGGTAGAAGAGGGAAACAGGGCCCACCTGGACCCCAAGGCCCTCCTGGTCCACCGGGAGAGTTCGGATTGCCTGGCAGACCGGTGAGTATGTTCACTTAGATTACTGGAAATTCAAAATATCTCATTCTCTAACATAGGACACAAGGATGGCATTCTGTTTTTCTGTTCGAAAGTAGCTTCTAACTTTTTGTAAAGTTACCTGTGTGAACAAGGGTGACATATATTCTCAGGAACTTTTGTTTACTCAAAAAGAAAATTGTTTGAATCTGTCCCTTGATTCAAGGTTGCGAAAAGTTTTAAAGTTCCAAATATTTCTCGCAATACAGTACTTTTTTCCGAGGCCCATTTTTTTGTATGTTCCCACTGTAAGAATGTCTGATTTCTTGGCAAAACGTACAATCAGCCCCCTCTCTTTCTTGAAATGGTAAAGAGTGGAAAAAAGGTCATTTTTCCCCAAAATTTCCTCATGGGCCTAAATACACCTCACGTCTGCTGCCTCCTCTAGTTTGCAAAATTGAGTATTTTTGCAGCCTTATCCTATGAATAAAAATATTGAGAAAGGAAAATACCAATTGAACAATAATATGACTCTTAACTCACATTAATTCATTAATCTATCAAAACTACATAGTTACAATTGTTGCCCTTACTTCCAAGTAAATAATGTCACTGTCTTTTTTTTTGTGCGCTACCTTCGGAAAATTGCAGAAGGTAAATGAACGTTTTCTATTTTCTCATTTTTATTTTTAAAGAATCGAAGGCTTGCTGAAATTTGTTTTTCATTGAACAATCTGATGTTACTTATTCAACATGTTTTCTCTCAAAATACCTCTCGTAAAATAATGTCAGTTAAAACTCGCAGCAGATAAGTTTGAAGTTGTTTACTTTCGAGTTTTCACTGTCACATGAAGTACCTAGATCATTTTACAAATATCGATGTACAGCAGCCCTGCTGCCCTCGGTCACGCTTCAATCACTGTTGGACTTAGTAAGCGCAGTTGTGTGCAAACAGAAAGTGAACAACTGCTAACTATTATCTAATTGATTCCCTAAGAAAAGAGATTGCTTGTGATGTTCACTCAAAGTCAGGATGTTCAACAAACTTTCAGATGCTTTACCTTTAACTCATTTTGCTCATTCTGCTGTCATAAAAGTAGATCTCCCAAACTGTAGTGATATTTTATAATTATCTGGTTTGGTGGTGATATTTCAGTGGAGGCCATGCGTGAGACCATCTCAACATTGACCTTTATCCCGAAATGTTCCAGCAGTATTCAGTGAAAATCTTAATTCAAGTATTTTTCTAGTAGCAGTGGTAAGCTGCTTAATTTTTTCGACTCATCTGTATCTTTCCTTTTTCAGGGTTCACAGGGGCGACCTGGGATACCAGGGCTTCCTGGAGGGCCACCTGGGCCCAAAGGAGACAAAGGAGATTCAGCTTTGGTAAGTTGAATAATTTTAAGATTCTTGTCATTCAGTTAACTGAGATAGATCTCAGACTTTTTTCCATCATTGTTGCCATTTAGGCCAACCAAGTGAAGTAAATATGGTTTTCTGCGTGACTGTCTCTTACAGCTATACGCCTTTTCATTAAAAAAGACCACTTGTGAGAAAAGGAACGTTGGTAACTAGTGTCGAATTTCTCCTTAGAACGATTTTTGTCAAATTGAGTAGATATCGCCAATTTGTGTTTGTGATTAAAAACATTAGATCGAGGATTGACTAGGTATTACATAATACAAATACAAGAGAGTATTAGAAAACAAATTCATGTACAGTTTAGTTCATTTTGTGCCAATAGAAGATTTATAGCTATACTTTTGATTGTAACGTCAGCTGAAGTCACTTTAAAAGGGAGTCTTAAAATATTTAGAATTTGATCAATGATTAGAAGTTTTTATTATTTTTTAAAAAATTTTCTTGGCAGATGAAAGGAGACAAAGGTGAACCAGGAGAGGTAGGCTTTCCTGGTCAGCCCGGTAACGTAGCAGAATGTTCGTGCACACAGGGACCTCCAGGTCCACCTGGATTACCGGTAAGTCTCTTCTTTTAAAATTATTTTTCTGAATGTCTGTTGCATCAGTGTTTAAATTTTTCATCACTGATAATTAAACCAAATTAATACTTTTTGCATGCAGATGTAATGTCATTAAGACTTGGATCTCAACATTTTTTTTCAGCCAATGGATTTGTCTATCAGCGTCCAATTACTTCACTATTAATTTGAGTTTATCAGTACTTTATACTGTTCACCAATACTTCAGAGAAGTTTTAAAAAAATCAGGCTACTTTTTTATAATTTTTTTTTCCAAGTGTAAATTTTATATCCGTTTCAAATAATTCTAATTAGTGCCTGCAGAAAAACGGAAAAACTGCGCAACTCTCTTTTCAAACCTTCCTGTCTATTTCTGTATGAAATTCACATACATTTAAGGAACTTTTATAGATGAGAGACTTTAATTTTTGCAATATCTTACATGATTCTGTTTTCTCTTAAATTCAGGGATTGCCTGGACTTTCAATAACTGGACCCAAAGGAGAACCTGGAATGCCAGGATTGTCGGGCAGGCCCATTTATGGAGAATCTAGTCCTCATTCTCATTATGGCAAACCTGGTAATTTTTATTTTTTGAAATTTTTGTATCAATATTTTCTTGTACTTGGTCATATTTTTTTTTTTTTTTATTTGCTTAGCCCAGCTCTTAGTCAGGTCATCCAGTTGAATGCATCTCTAAATGACAGATATTATCACTTTATTGGAAAACAGAGGAAACCTTGCGAAACTGTCCAAATTATTTCATACTTTACGGAGGCAGTAAAGAATCAGCCCACGTTTTCTGACAAAACATAATTTTATCAGATGTCTAAGGAATAGATGATTCTTTTAATTCTTTGATTCAGAGAAATACTTATACTCTCTGAATCATATCGATCAGACTTGATAAGACTTACTCCTACCTAGGTTGCTGTAATTTACTTAAACACTGAACCCTTTGTACCTCAAAAATTTTTGCAACAGTTAAGTTCACATTAAGTGAGACACTTGTGCGTGTAAAAAAGTTGGAAAGTGGCTGTATCATACATTCAGCATTGCCTCTCAGAATCACTCTCTCAAAATATTTTTCTCGGAATTATTTCCAAAAATTTCTCAGATACTGATTTTTCCTTAAATTTTAATAATGTAAAGTCTGATTCTACATTTCTTAACTTTGTAGAATCAATGTATACTGTTTTGTGTACAGCTTGAGATATCTATTTGTTGATCTTTTAATTCACATAAGATGAAGATTGATCAGATTGAAATTCCTTGTTTTTTTTAATCCATGAAATTGAGTAAAAAATAATATAAAGAAGTCACAGGAATCGTTGAAGTCAACGAAAGAAAGTTTTTTTTCTCTTCTAAGCGTGCTGTTTGATCCTAGAATTAGATACAATCATTCAGAATTTTTTGTTTATGTCTTTGCTCTTTCATGCTGCGTCACTTTAAAAGGAATGAGCAGCTTGGAAGAATTGAGATCTTTGTCAGGAAAAACCTTGCAAGAAGTGCGGGAGGAGTCAGAGAGTAAGTGTAATAGTCTTCCTGGATGTTTTATCCACTACTTGGTCACACATTTATAATCGCCTTTTTACGAAACCACATTTTTGGAATCAGAAACCTCAAACTGCCTTAACGCTAGTTTGATTTGACGTTCTTGGGCTTTTTCTGTCCCACGATGTTTGTAGAACATTTCTCTTTGCTCTTCTATTAGTAACTCTCAGTGTTTTTTTGGAGATTCAGGTCTCTTTTCCTGTGGATGATCACTTTTGCAAACTGCTGAATCCTTCATGCAGTACTAAGAACTAGCTTTTGAAGCTTTCGTTCAAAGGCAGGTGATAGATGATTGGTTAACATAATTTTAAACAGAAACAAATAAAATCTGTTTCTGGGTCTTTAATGGTGAAACTCAAATTAATTTAAAATTCAGCGCTTATTTATGCACACATTGTCACCTTTCTAACATCATGTCTTCTATGTTAGGTGCACCAGGACCTCAGGGACCACCCGGGCCCCCAGGACCTCCTGGCCTACCTGCTGAGTCCTCTCAATCTTCGCGTAGAGTAGGTTCTGGAGCAGTTGTATTTGAAACGCTCGACCAATTGCTACATGTGCGTATTTTTATTTTTTTATTGAATAATAATTTAAGTAAACCTAAGTTTCTCAGTTTCCCATTTTTAAAACGATTAAATTTGTCCACTGAGATCTATGAACAGGATTTTCTCATCCAGAGAAAATGGAAATGTCAGGAAATATGACAGGTGACAGGGAACAATTTTTAAAATGTCTTTCTAGAATGTATTTGACGTTTTTAATGACAAATGTGAGTCCAAGTCTGGACTTTATGTTTTTTAAACTATCCTGCATATTGTCAAAGTTCAGGAGATTTCATTCGCTAACCTGTGCATCAACCCTGTATGAACAAAGTTAAACCCTCATAATTTTATCTACGCTGTTACATTCAAATCTTTAAAAGCTAGTCAAAATAATTCCAGGCACGAATTTTATTGTTGTTTATAACTTCTTAATTTTTAGTGGCTTTCAGGATTATTTTGTTCTGAGGAAAGTGAATGGTGGCTCGCAAAAATGACCGCAGTTAATTTTTGGCAATTTTAAGTTACTAGTGTCATGACACTCATGAAGAGGTTTTCTATACATTTACTTTAGAAAAAACAAGTTTCAAGCTCTCGAATGCAAAGTACAGCCTACAGTTTGGTTCTCCCTCAGCACGCTCATAGACAGACTTTTCATGAATGTCATGACTCTAAAATAATAATTCAAAATCGCCAAAAATGCATCACGGTCATTTTCGCAGACTGCCACTCAAATAGTGCATCAAGTAATGAGTTATTAATGATGGTTGAAGATTAATGAACTCTAAGTATTGCCTAACTTTACCTTAAATTACCTTTTTGCAATTATCTAATCGACATTACATTTAATTTCAGTCATCAGCACCATTGGGGACCATAGCTTATATTATCATAGAACAAACACTGCTCGTTCGTGTGAAATTGGGATGGCAGTATATTGCTGTAAGTATAACTCATTATTTTGAGGTCGTTCAAGAGAAAATCTTAAAAAATTGGGGGAAACGGAAAATCCTGGCGCTGAATTTGTGTGATTATTGTGGCAAATCTTTACTATGTACTTATCTAGGTGTGTTACATTTAAAACTCAGCATCAAAATTATTTTTCTTATTTCAACTTTGTGATGTACGTATGACTCCTACTGCCAATGCTATAATAATTTTTAAACCAACTTGGTGGCAGAAAAACAAGTTTTGCTGTTTCCAATGGGTCAGTTGTCCTGGTCACAGAATTGTGTTTTGATGCTTAGTTCGTGTTGATTAGCTCAAAATGATAGGATCTGTCCAAACTGCAACTTTCTACGTTCAATATTAACCGAGATATCGCCCATTGAAAAGTCGGGCTTTTTATATCATCCACCGCGGTAGTGACACCCTTGGTTCCTTCCACCTTGTCTTCATCCAAGTTCCACGTTGAGTAATTAATGCTTCACTGACCGATGAAGGCAAGGTGGAAGCAAGACAGGTGTCACTACCGCGGTGGATGATGTCAAAAACCCGATTATTCAAAGGGCGATATCTCGGTTAATATTGAATGTAGAAAGTTGCGGTTTGGAAAGATCTTATTATTTTGAGCTAATCTGCAAGATTGCGCATCATAATACGATTCTCTGACCAGGGCAACTGACCCATTGATTTTGATAACAGGACACACTTTTCATCAAAAAAGGGCCAAGTGCTAAAAAATAAAAAATTGAATTAGTTGCGGTTTTTTTTAACAATAACAACATGTTACGTATTGGGCTTAGTGCTGCCAACACTAGGGTACCTATATATTACAAATAATGTCCAACAGCTGTCTAGGTACTGCAGCGGAAGTCGTCGGAAAGGAAAGTGTGAATAACTCAAAATCAACTTTTCGTTGATATCTAACTTCGCAATATCGTTAATCTTGTTATGATTATTTATTTTTTTTTTTCAGTTGAGCAATTTAATTTTAGAGCCAACAGAAGCCCCGATTCCTCAGTTCCCATCTTCGCCACCACCAACAGCAGCTCCTCGTCTTCCTTTGGAGTCATCAAATTTGATTAACAATGACCCATTACCAAAAGAAAGCCATAGTGTATGTATTCCTATTCATTATCTATCTTATCCTCCTCTGTTTCTCTACTTCATGTATTTTTTAGCTTCTCTCAGCTTCTTACAGCCTATCTTATTCTTGCCCACTTTCTTGTCCCTCAGTGAGAATACTTAACATTCTATTTTTAAATTACACTAAGAGTATTTCTATTTATTTATTTTTAAATGTTTCTGATCGAATCTTTTTCTCAACTTCGATCCAGTAAATTTATTAAAACAATTGGGTGAAGCAGCTTTCAAATTTCAGATAAAGGTGTTATTATCGCATCATAAAAATTATGTTCGCAGTGTCTCAAAGGGAAAACTGATTTATTTCTGTGTAATGAAAATCCTTGTATCACAAAAATTAGCTCTAATAGCTATGATGTGATGTCAACATTCTTATTATTCAATTCTCCGCCAAGAGGTTTGCAAGGCTTTTTAGCCAGCTTTTGGACCTCCTGTAAGGTAACCTCTACCCCCTTTTATATCACGCAAGCCTAGCTTGACCCCCAAAATTTGTTCAAAGATGATAAAGAAAACCTAAAAAATTGTTTTCATTAAAAGAGAAGGTTTTTTTTTTTTTTTTTTTTTTTTTTGCAAAGTGGGAGGCTCCCATAAGCGTAGGCCTGGCCACCAAACCAAGCTTAGACCCTTTCCCCTCCTAAGCGGCTTACGTAATACTTACGTAACAGCTCTCAAAGTATTTTTTTCTCTTGTGTTGATGAAATGAAAATGAAAATTATTTCTTTTCATTTTGAATAATATTCTCATCACATTCCAAGTTTGGGTTCCTCTAATTCTTAAATTCATTGATTTTCATTGCTTGCCTCTTCAGCGACATCCAAGAACGGTGAGTATCCATTTTACAATTTACATTCAACTTGAACTAGAGCAATTTTTTTAAAAATGTCTACGTCTGAAGAAAGAAAAAAATAAATTTCCTCAATATTTGTCCTTTTGCAGCTCTTATCAAACTAATTTAGTCCATGATTACAAAGCAAAGGCTCACAAATATAGCATTTTATTGTAGAGTGAGAAATGTGAAACGTGATCTTAAATTTTAAGATGGAGAGGTATCATTTCTCAAATTCATGCAAATATTTACCAAGTTGTTAAGGAATATAATGAACTTCTCTCGGTTTTCTCAACTCTTCTTTATCGCATTCTTTTCTAAGCTCTCGAAATCTGGAGGTGGATTTCTTATGGATTGAGGTTCCATAATTTTACTGTATGTTAACATTTTTCATCTTATTTATTCTCCCATTTTTCTTCAGCTTCGACTTGGTGCTCTGAATGAACCACACTCGGGAGACGTTCAAGGCATTCGAGGGGCAGACTTTGCATGCTACCGCCAAGCAAGACGATCTGGACTGCATGGAACTTTCCGAGCTTTCTTGTCATCAAGAACCCAAAACTTGGACTCGATCGTGAAACTCTCAGATAGAGAGCTGCCTGTGGTAAATCTCAAGGTGAGGACTCAAATCAAGGCTTCAAAAGCTAACTGTAGACTTTTAATTTTTAAGTAATTCTCCGGGTAAATTGAATATTTTTTTATCGTCTAGTATGCCAAAATTCCTCCTACTCTGAGTCCCTGAATTACAATTTTGAAAAAAAAATTTCTCTAATGATTTTTTTTTTTTTGCTCTGAAAGCGGGAAGAAAACCGAGTTCCGGCAACTAGGTACTGCTTGCATGTGCCAGGAACGGGCGGCCAGTCCCACCTCCTGACAACCGCAAGCAGCTAACAGGTGGTTCGAGAGGGTCACCCACACCCCGCACACAAGAGATCTCCAACAATCTAAAAAAACTCTTACATAATGTAATTTGATTTATAAAAGGAAAATTTCTTTTGATCATGAGCCCAACTTCTCATTAAAATTAAAAAGATCAAACAGAAGAAAATCAGAAATTTTACTTTTTGCTTTCTAATTTTCAGGGAGATATTCTCTTCAACTCGTTTATGGATATTTTTGACGGCAAAGAGGGTTTCTTCACCCATCAATCAAGAATCTATAGCTTCAATGGAAAGAATATCATGACCGACCCTACATGGTATGTATAAATTTGCATGGAGTTTGTTGTCTTTCTCATTCAATTCTTTTGTTGTTGCCTAGTCTATCATCTGTATTTTTTAATTGCTAATAAATTATTTGAAACAAATGATCAGAGATTGTAAGGTTAATAATAAAGTCAGAGATTGCGAGGTTGATAAGGTTATACTTATGAGTTTTGTTCATATTCTTAAAATTTCTTTTTTCCCCCTTTGTGAGCCTCAATATTACACGAAGAAAAGTCAATAGAGATACTGTGGCAAATGTAACAAGTTTTTTTTTTCCTGTCTGTAAATAGTGTACATAATCAGAAATTTTCCAGTCTCAAAACACCACTAGTGATTAACACCTTCAGGGACTGAGATCTGACATCACTAGATAATTACAGTGACAACTCCTTCTGTAGCCTGAACAGTTTAAGTCTTGAAAAGAAAGGGAATAACATTCTTTAGTTACTTGCTAACATTATCAAATATACTATATAATTCATACTTGTTTTCCATACCTCCTTCAACAAACACCGCACCTGCGAAGTCCAAATTGCGAGACTGCGAATCGGCCATACTTTTTTCTCTCATTCTCATTTAATCTCAAAATCTCCAGTTCCTCTATGCTCTCTATGTCAACACTCCCCCCTTACAATCGACCATATTTTACTTTCTTGCCCTAAAACCTACGCCACACGTATCAAAATTCAAAGTTCCCTCCCTCTTAACATCCACCCTTTGTGTTCAGATAGTCCAATGGTAGTAACAGAAATTTTAAAACTCTTCAAGAAACTAAATTTAAAAATTTAAAATTGCCTAGTCCCCGACGTAACTATTTACGATCAGCATCTAGGCTATCCTAGATGCTGATCGTCGTTAAATAAAATTAACTAACTAACTATTATTTACATTTATCAATTTTACCAACTTCGTCAAGCCCTTCATAAATATACTAATTTTCTAAGCTCAATGGGTACTCTTATGGCAGGATGAATTTTTCTGCTGTTTCATTCTCATCAAATTCTTATACCTCTGTTTGTTCTTAGGGTTCAAAAGATTGCATGGCACGGTGCTTACGAAACTGGAGAGCGGGCTTTAGAAGCCTCTTGTGATGCCTGGAATTCTAACTCAGGGGATAAACAAGGTCTAGCGTCTTCTTTGTTGAGTCACAAATTATTGAGTCAAGATAAATTCTTGTGCAATAATAAGTTTGCAGTCCTGTGCATAGAAGTCACTAGCCAAAGCGCCGAAAGACGTCGCAGAAGACGAAACTTAGAAGTAGATGCCACGGATGAGGATGACGATTTTGAGCTCCAAATGAAAGAAGAGCAGCTTCAAAGCCACTTGAAAGACATTATTATGGAATAAAATTTTTCGATCAAAACATGCTTCCACCAAAAAGGGCGTGTGTGACCATCCACAGGAAAAAAGATCTCAAGTCACAAAAAACTAGTTACAGACATCAGAGCGTAGATGAATGCTTTACAAGCTTTTTGAGATAAAAAAGAAACTCTTAAAAATATAGAGTCCAACAAGTTCATAAAACATAGTTCTGAGGAACAGATATAGAAAATTCTAAGCCGCCACATTTTGAGTGTAAAATTATGATCCAACTTTATGTTCCTTATCAGCACAAAAAGGAAAAATATCAATATTCAATTTTCTGACCCAACTCAATTAAAATATCATCTAAAGAATAAGGTTCCTTTTCCTGTGGATGGTTACATATCTGTTACCGAAGACTTAGGTACCATATACCAAAGCATTAAGTACCTCTATTTTCCACAGAGGCTCATCAACTAATATCAGTGATAATTGATTTTTTTATCTCTTTTATACACAAACTAGGAAATTAATCAAAGATTATTACTAAAATATGGACAAGTTTTATTGTCCAAATAAATCGACTGTTCCGTTGATATTAATTTGATAATTTCTCTCCCTTTTTATTATTATTTATTTCCTTTTCTTTTATATCGGTAGGTATTTTTCGACAAGAACAAAATCTGTGCGATTTAAGCTGAGGATCAATGATTGGACTCAATTCTGAGGGTTCAATTTTTTTTTTTTGGAATGAGTTTCTTTCGTTTGCATGCTGATTCATGTAGCTATAAGTACATATCATCCTTTTGCAACTCAAAAATAAATAAAAAACTAGGTTTTGCATTTAAGTAAAGGATATTTTGAGTTACCATTGACTGTGCAGAGTGGAACCAGTGCGAAATAGACAAAATTGCTTGTAATATTCTTGTGAACCAGCTTCTGAGTAGTGTAAATAAATAAACCAGCTATTCAATAAGTTTTTTATATCTCAAAGCCATTTCATCGGTTCTTTTCAGGTTGTAAAACTTAATTTATAGGTGTATTTGAGACTGATTTCATTACTAGTCTTAAAAAAATCACTTATCTTTTTTTAGTCTGACTCGCAAAGCATTAGCTTAGAGTAGCGAACACCTTGAAATATCTTGAAGCCCTGTTGCTTTTCGGAATTCTGGCTAATCAAGATAGAATTAACAAAGCCAAAAGTTTTTAATGATGTCCGTGTTTCTTTTTTTTCCAACAAACTTTCTTGAAAAAAAAAAAAATTTTATGCCAAATATCCGGAAACCACCAGAATGCTTTGAACAAAGGCCAGAATAATTTTCCAGTATCATCAGGCAAAATCAGTATTGAACGGCCTTCATTAAAATCAGCATAACTACATCAAACATTGCCTAATTTTCTCTGAAACTTTTTTTTTTAAACAGAAAACCAAGCAACACTAAAATCTGAAATTTTGTGAATATATTTGTATTCTCCCTAATCCAGGATTAATTCACAAAGAGTTATGCAGAAGAGTTTTGTTTTAGTAAAAAGCAGAACATGAGAGGAAATAAGGTCAATGTAACATGCAGTTAGGCAGATTCTGGCCAGATCAGTCCAATTTTAAGAGACAAAAAAATACATGCTATATTCTGTAACTGTTACTACTGTTGTTCCCTGGATTAAACGCTCAACTGGGGCCTTGTCTCCGCGGCATATTCTCATGAGATTTTTCACAGGGTCAAATTGCGGGGAAAAAACTCAGGTAATTACTTGCAGTTGCCGTCTCCACAGGGTGGGGCTCCAACGTTCTTGCGGTTGTGAAGTTTGTGTGAGAAGATAAACTGATAAAAATCGAGTATTTAAAGGTAATTAAGGTAACTTGAAGTTTAATTAAAGTACCAAAGACGATTGACAATGAAAAAAATTACTCAAAGTAAAGGAACATGAACAATCAAGAGAACAACTAAGTATCACACAATTCGCTCTCACTTCTTATTTTTCTCTCAGTTGGTCTACAAGCAAAAGTTCTACAAGAACCAAACTTGGTACTGCAATTAATATCGAGTAATTCAATATTTATTGAAACTTTGTAAGTTAAACAAAAACGGCCCGCAGAGACAAGACCTACTAACTGAATAGTTTTGTGGTGTAGTAATTTCAATAATTTTAACGATAATCAACATTTCGAAATGTTATAAGAAACTCTAGCTGAAGTTCACTGATAACCAACATGTAGATTTGCAAATATCGTTCCCATTAAAATGGCAACTCATTTTATATGTCATCCTTTATGAAATTGTATTTCATTGAACTGAAAAAAAAAACATTTCTGCGATACTTAATTTTAATTATTTCACCAGGAGTGTGAACTACTGCCAACCTCTAAGTTAATTTCACTCTTTTTTTAAAGTTATCTGTGAGTTATTTTGGTTTAAAACCTTTGGTTTTGTAATAGAGTTTGCATACTTCTTTCAAAGTGAAGATTGAATCTAAGTCAGGCTGTAAATACCATATTGTTTTCAATTTTTTAGGCTGATGAAATTCAGCCCAATAAGCCAGCCAGAGAAAATTACCTATGTTCTTTGATGTTATTTCAGGGAATTCTAAGTGGAAAATAATATTAGTGAACCGTTTTTCGGTGCTTTTTTGAGTTTTGAAGAAAATTGAATCATATAGTTCCATAAATTAAAGGATCTCCTCCTTTCTGTAATTATTTTCTTGATCTTTTTCTAACTCGCCCAACCATTCTAGTCACTTCTCGTGCCAAAAAAAAATCTGAGCTCTTGATGTGTCTATTCTGGTACATTATAAGACTATGAATATGAATATTTAATATTTAATTTTAGGAGTCAATTCAAAAGCATGTCTATCTTCAAAATGAGATGGCATTTTGTACACTATATGATTCAATTCTTCTGAGCTTTTTGATTCAATTCTTTAGTGTTTTACCTCCGAAGTGAAATTCAACTCAATTTTTGCCAAGTGCACAAACTCTATCAGTCTCATACTCATGTCTCATCATCATAACTTTTTTTATTCCAGAATTTGGAAAACTTATTCCGCAGTGCGTTTACATATATAAGGAACTCAATAATTTGGCGATATTTCTATTTTGAACCTACCCAGGCAGTTATTGAATAATGTAACGGTTCCTATTCCTAGGATAGAGTATTATTTATTTAGCTGGTAAAATTTTTTATGAGTATTCTAATTTCCTGTGTCAAATATTTAAGGTTTCAGCCATTACCAAAATTTTAAGAATATTTGTTAAATTCATACAAATGAGAGGCCCTGTACATATTGATATAGGCTGAAGCCATTGAAACCAAACACCTAGCTATTAGTCAAATTTTCCAAGGCTTATTTTCATCCTTCCGTTACTTTCTCTGTTATGATAAGGTAGAGTTCAACTCTCGTTTTCCTTTCTTTTGCTGAAATTTCATATAGATGGCTTAAGTTGAAAATATGTATCTCGGATTGCAATGTCGTAAGTCACGGCTTGTTTTTCATTTTTTTAAATGAAAACGAACCGACAATTTCTATCAAAATTTTTTGTGAATTCGTCCCCTTCCAGCCATGCGAAGTTTCAAAATTTCTGCCGCGAAGTTTCAAAATTTCCGCCGCCATTTTTTTTTTTTACAGAGAAATTGTTCAACGAAACTGTCCGAAAATTTCACAGAATTTTTTTTGTGCTGCCGATAAAATTCAGTGAAATTTTCAAGCAGATCAGACCAACAATTTCTCTGTAAAAAATAAAGTGGAGGCGGAAATTTTAAAATGTCACATGGCGCGTTTTCTTTGAAGAAATTATCATAGTATCGAGATTTCAAAGCATTGAAATTGAGATATGCATTTTCACCGTACAGCCATTGATACTTTTTTCAGATCAGCTCTTTTTGTTTTGACAAAAAACGTACCAGATCATTTTTGTAAGTTTTCTTCTGTCCAAGCTTTTTAAATAGGTGTTCAAAAAGTTTCTCCTCTGTACTGTTTTAAAAGTATTTAAAACAGATACTATTTTCATCGCTGTGAACAGTCAAAAGAAGTTACACAAAGAGGTGGGTTGGAATTTTATCTGGATTCCATCATATCTTGAAAAATTGCCCTTGGGTCTTTTCATTTATGTTTTTCAAGTCTAACTTAAAACCGTACCTCCTCAAAGGAGGGACTTACCATTAAACTTTTTGGGCACAGAAAAAAATATGAGATTTTGATAAGTACAAAAAATAAAAGCTTCAAGTCAAATCAAAAAAAGGAATTAGAATTGAAAAATATGATAACAAGTGTACGGACTTAATCAGAGTCAGCCTCACTACTGCAGACATTGCTTACTTTCTTTTTATGTATTATTTTGTAAGAGATAACTCTCCGATTTAATGAGTACATTTTTTACTATAGAGGAAAATATTACAAAAAGTTTCAAGGTTTTATGCAGCTTCGATCTCATTGTTAGTCACAAGGAGTTACAGAGGGAATCAGGCAACATCAATAATGCAGTTAGGCAGATTCTGGTTAAATCTATTCAAATAAGAACTGAAAACAATCAACAATATCCCATTTAAATTTATATGTAAACTTCTCTTTTTTCAAAATGAAACACTCCAACCTCCTATTTTGTAAATTGAATGTTCAAAATCAAGACATTAGATTTTTAGAAACCATTTTATTTCTTTCAACCCCTCTTTTTTGTGCAGAGCTGTTCCGTTTCATTCAAAATTATCTTGAACTTGAAATTAGGTCACTGTAATTTTATAATGTGTAAGTGTCATTGTAAATAAGATCATTTGTAAATATAAAGTCAATTATTTGAGAAAAACCTCTCTTTTAACATTTGTTTTAATCACTGATTTAACCCTCTTATAAGCAGATGTTGAATTTTTTTGCTAACTATATTTGATTTTGCATAATAATAATTAGCTGTAAAGGATTTTGGAAAATTTCGGAGTACACTAACGCATTCACAACGAGTTTTTGAGAAAGCCTGTATTTCTTGAAAAATGAAAATAACAAAAGTAAGTTTGCACATTACAGAAAATCAAAGAAGCTTTCAAATAAAAAAAAAAAAAAATTATGTAAACGTAATTAATATTTTGAGAATTTTACTAAAAGAACTCAATAAACATCAACAGACGTTTCACTTGAGTTATTGAATGATGTGGTCAATTACCTTAGAGACAGCACTTTCACTCAAAATTTTAGGGTTAAAACTTAAAGACAAAACAAACTTAATTTGAAAACTTGAACACAAAAAGAGAACATACTATAGCTAGGCACAATTTTTTGTAGCACGGAAATTGAATTAATGTACGTATCACAGCCACCTTAAATAAACGATTCTTTTTTCCCACCTGACGGTCTCAAAACGGCAAAAGCTTACTGGCTTAAATAATTGAAGAGGGCAGCATTTAAAAAAAATATTAAGCTCACACCAAGAGAGCGATTAATTCTGTACATAAAACTGCATAATAAAAATTCTGCATAATAAAAAAATGAACAGGATAAATTTCATTTCTTATGCAGTAAATTTGTGTAAATGGATGCTAGATTTCATTTGAAAAAGAAATTTCAAATAAAGGGAAAAAAATCTGAATCAAAGCTCGATTCTCACAGCCACAGCCCAAACAGAATGCTATGGTGCTACTGAGAGCCAACCTCTGTTGTTGTTTTGTTGTGGAAAATGAAAGTTAAAAATTCGTCCGATGATGAGAGACACAGCATCTGAAAAAGGTACACAAATGAGTTTGAGAAATTTCACAGACTTTTAAAATCTGATGGACCCATTTAGTTTCAAAGCATTCTAATTTAAAATTGTAGGCAGATAGAATGAGATGGAATTCCATCAGTCTATGGAAAATATGTATTCCCGGAAGCCGAGGACAAAAGGGAAAGTATTCATTTCAATTGATTAGTTTTGAAAGTCACAGAATCGTGCTTTGATGGTTCAAGCTTAAAGATTGACAAAAGTTAATAAGATCCGCCCAAGCCTCAGAACTCTACCTTCAATATTAACAGAGATATTTCCCACAAAAAACAGACTACAACAACATCCAGAACGCCATTCATGCATGTTTTACACGAGCAACCGGAGCGAATACATGTATCACTGAGTGATTAAACTAGCAAAAACCATGGTATTCACTATGGCAATGAATGATATTTTCCGTGTTATTTATGAGCGATATCTGCGTCAATACTGAACAAGGAAACATAGCGTTTCAACAGATCTAAATATTTTTTTCTAATTTAAATGGTGATCCAAAAGTATCGCACTTCCCATTTAAGCCTCAGGGATCTTGTTCTTTGGCAGAAAAGTCGTCTAGAATCCCAGGTGTGGTTCCCTTTGACCAAGGGGCACTTACAAAATTTCAAGTCTCTATCTTAATTTTTCCACACGTTTCAGAGACGTTGCCTGGTCCTAGTGGTATGGGACTTTTGGATCATCCTGTATAAGCTCAAGCCATCAAAAAACAATTCTGTGACTAGCGCAATTGACACATTTATTGAAAGGATAATATAATTATGAGGGTTACCTGCAAGAAATCTGCATCAATAGTTTTGGCATAGTGTTCCCATTGCATTAACTGATTCATCCTGAGAACGTTGGAGGTTGTAGAGCACTCCTCGTCATCGAGGGAGATTTGGCAGTCTCGGTCGTTTCTCATGAACATATCATCTCCTTCTTCTTCTGCCTCTTCAACATCAGGGACGCTCCCTGAACCAGAGCAAGTGCAATTGAGCATATCATGGGTGCTGCTCAAACAATCTGGCTCATAGCGGAATAAATCCTGAAATCGGTTGAAAGATTTGAAAGTTAGTATAAATTAAACTCAAAACGATACTTTTTGCACACTTCAAAGCGTCGTAAATCTGGGTTTAGTTTACTTTTGGGTGTTTTCAGTCTTGAAACATTTGTAGAACACTACTCTATGTTCTGGTATAAATAAACCAATTTTGAAATTGTGTGAATTCAGGTCCCTTTTCCAGAGCGCAGTTGCAACTAATAAAATAATAATATTATAACAATTGTTAATTTTTCATGGAGTACAAAATTTAGACAATGTCAAGTTTCTTATGTACTAGGTACACCAATTAAGTATCAATTAAATTAAAAATTAAAACATTCTTTTAGTGAGTAAAATACCTTTACATTCTTTACATTTTTCATTACATTTTTTTACAAAATTCAAATTGGGTGACAGCATTATCAAATACTTTCATAATTAATGGCCAATTAAGGGTGAATTAAGGCATGAAAAAAGTATTACAGAGAAAAATTAGAATTCCTCCTTTCCATAAGGAAAAAATTCTACGAAAATGTTTTCAACCAGTAAGGCTTGAATAGGATTACTGATGGATACACATTATTTATTTGAACATCAATTTAACTTACTTTTAACTCTTCAATTGACAATCGAACGTGAGAATTATTCTTCGGGTCTACAACAGCGGAACTAATTCCAGTTTTGCTGATCTGTCTTTGCAAGATCTTTTCTTCGATAGTGCCCGCGGAGAAAAGCCTATAGATGAAAACGGATTTCTTCTGACCGTCTCTCCAAATTCGAGACATTGCTTGCAAGTCTGTTGCAGGATTCCAGTCAGAGTCAAAAAGAACTAATCTTGAGGCTCCGACTAGATTTAATCCTACACCCCCAGCTTTTGCACTGAGCAGAAAGACAACTAGAAAAAGAAAGAGAGACAAGTTGAAACTCAATACAACTGGCTTGTTAAGTGTGTACCTGCCTAACACTGTTATGAATATTATCAGAAGTAATATTTTTGTGATTGAAGGAAATTTAAGCTTGATAAAATTTAAAATGTTTGCAGGACATGCTTCGAAATTGCTGATACAGTATTGTACGTAAATATTCTAGATTGCTTGGTGAAAAAAAAATTGGGGGTTTTTTCTTGCTGCTTTTATATTACAAGTCATGCTGCGAAGCGCCAAGAGGAATGGCAAAACTTGCAGTGCACCTGAAGAATGGCTGTAAAGAGGTACCATAGTAAGACAACCGTATGGAATTTGAGGATAAAAGACAGATGAAAATTACTTGAGCTGGAATAAGAAGGGGTTGCAATGTTTAAATGTGCATCAAGATTTTTAGGATTGTGTGATTACGTACAGAGGTTGAAGAAAGGGGGCAAACCCTTTCATCATGAGGTATAGGAGCCTGCATGATAAGCAAATGATTTTACTCGTACTTACAGTGATCCTTGTCTGAGTTGAATCTATCCACTATTGGGATTCTCTGAGCTGCTGGGGTTGTACCATCTAACCGCAAATACTTATACCGGTTTCTATCACAAAGAGTAGCCAGCAAGTCCAGAGTCTGTGAGGAAAATTTTAGAAAATTGAATTAGAAAAAATCACACACATATTGAGCAAAATATTGTAAAAATAGGTCCAATTTCTGCAGCTTTGTGGCTGTGACAAATAAAACATGCAGACTTGAAAAAGAGCTCAGACCAAAACTTGGATCAATAAGAATTTATGAAGACTTAATTGGCTTTCGCCTATGTATAGAAAGTCAAAGATTAGATAACAAGATGGTAATGAAAGAATTGACGCCAATCAGCAACTGAATTTATTCCGAGCTCTGTTAGTGTCTTTAAGATGATTCAATGGACGCCATTTTTTGTGTCAGAGTGACATGCGACATATCGCATCAATTTGTTCCATAATTTCAGCTACTTGTCATTTTTTTCGAATTTTGAGATTGCATTACTGGTGTTATGAGACTAACAAGTCCATGAACCAAATTTGACAAAAAAAATTCAATGTATTGGAGGCAGGGTTTTTTCAGAGGAAAAATATTGCATTCGAGTACAGCTTCGATATCAGTATCGAATGGTATATTTTTCCTCTAAAAAAACCCTGCCTTCATTACGTTGAATTTTTTTGTCAAATTTGGCACATGAATTCTTTAGTCTCATGACAACAGAAGTGCGATCGCAAAATTCGAAAAAAATGACGAGTAGCTGAAATCATAGAACGAATTGATGCAATATATTGCACATAGCTCTGACACAAAAAATGGCGTCCATCGAATCACCTTAACCACAAAGCAGGTAAGTTAATAAACTATTAGAGCAATAAAATATCTGTTATTTTTATTTAACAACTGTGGATCAGAATGCAAAAATTGTTTGGTAGGTCTACCGTTTCACTCTAAAATTTAGCAAACTTATTGGTTCTCTCAGGCTCCAGCCATGATAAATTTTACTCGATGAGGGAAGTTTCAGCGTATTTTAGCTGCTAGATATAATGCAATTATTTAATTAAAAGCCAACTTTTAGAGGAAGAACAGTATAGTTTGTCCCTCCGAGATTAATACAAGGTCTACAAGCTTGAAGAAGCTCTCCAGCAAAATATTTTATGTTTGTGACTCTGTGATTACTAATAAAATACTGATAAAATAACAAAAGAATGGACTTTTGAAAAATTTGATGAATGATGAAGGTATATGAATGATATGATGAGTTTGAATTTAAAACACAGATCATCATCAACTACATAAAATTGGAAAGGAAAAAAACTAACTTGAGTAGAATATGAGACCAGGACGATTCTTTCCTTAGAGGTTGCTCTTAATTCTGCAAGAAGGTTGTCTATGACAAGGAATTTGGAGGAATATTGAGTCAAAGGTGTCTCCGATTCCGTTTCCTCTTCGGGTAACATATTATTGAGGAAATTTTTCAAAGATTCCTGAAAAAATAAAATTAAAAGAAAAAAATAATAAACGAAATTTATCAACAGATTTGAGTTTATCCTGCTTTCTTCTTATTCTGATAGTTTTGCACATGCAATTGAAGATTGACAAAAACAAACATAAAATTGTTCTCTTGGCTTAATACTCGAGCAAAAAAACTTAAGAACAATGTAATATATTCCTTAAATCATGCTTCAGGTTTGGCGAAAATGGAGAATAGATGAGCTCTAGTATCTCAGTGAGCCATAGAGGTCTATGGCTCGTGACAATTCTTCTGGAACTGAAGTTGATGACTTTCGGAGAAGTTCTTATTGATGAAATCAAGGGCTTCCAAACAATTATTTAGGAACTTTGGGAACCTACAGAGATTTTTCAACGACTTAAACATTTTTTAAAAAGGCCTTGAATAGGATAGTATCAAAAATAGAAGTGTCCTATTGCAATTTTGTTTTACAATGTTCCCTGAGAAGAGAGCAATGGATAACATCAAACCGAAGCTTTTCAACATTATGACTCACCTTCTGATGTAACTTTCATTACATCAATCATCATAGGTTTTTACTAATCTTCCTCCTTGAACGAAAGAAAGAAAGAAAGAAAGAAAGAAAAAACACCGGATGATATAAAATTATATGAGTTCCAAAAGAACTTGGACAATCTCTCTGGACTTAACATGTAAACTACTTAGGATTTTCAAATACTCTTAATTTGTAAACACAGGCCTTCGGCCAAAATTCTGATAAATTTTGGTTCCACTGGAAAAAGAATTCAAGTGCAAAATTGAAGAACTTTCAACCTCATTACAGACCCTGCAGTTATTGAAAATTTCGGGCAAAATTGCAAGAAGTAGGACTCCGAAAACTTTCATTACTTTGTTGTTGGTTGATTAGTCTGTCTGATATTGCATTCCGTCCCTTGAATTACCCCTTTCCTTTAGATTACGGTTTTTATTTTGTGGATATGTTGCATAATTACATACAATCAGAGCGTTTTGTGAGAGGAGAAAAAACAAAACCCAATCCTACCTCTTGAAAATAAAAATCCTCAGATTCTTTCCGTTTCAGCAAGAATGGATGATTACATATTTTCTTCAGGGCTGTGATGACCGATAAATGCTTTATACCTGAGTCAGAGCCAGGCGCAGCTAAGTTCCGATCTTCCCAGTATTGAACGGTGGCTTCATAAAGATCTTGCTGAAAAAAATTCAAACGCCCAAAATCAATGATGAATACACACTATCACTTACCTTAACACAATACCACAGATAAAGAAGTCTTAAGTTTGCCAAATAATCAGGCTTTTAACTTGAGAATTCCCCACTTGAAAAAAAAGGAGGAGGAGAAAGGAAGAAATGAGGTGAAAGAGAGGAAGGAGGAGAAAAAATAAGAGAACCATAGCAAGCACATTCAAATAATTTCTCTTAATTTTACTTGTGTGCAGTAAAAATTGTTTATCCTTAATTAATCTTAAAGGAATATTAGAGAGGCATGACGAAATCTTCACCTGAAGTTTAGTTGAGGAACAAAATATAATCATTTCATGTTTATTCGGCAAATATTTGTCATTTACATCCTGTGTTCTCCGGAGAATGAAACCACTGCTTAATTCATTCAGTTCTGCAGCTCTCTCTTCACCTAGCTGTTGAGCATCCTGGTCTATGCCTGGTTGACGAGAAAATGTGATAGGGTCTGCATACTGTCGCTTAAATTCTGAAATGGTTTTAGGACAATGGAAAAAATTAGGATTTTTCAATGAAGTGAAAATAACATACATACTAATTCAAAATCAAGACTAAGCCCCCGACAAAGAAGTGTTAGCTGGTGATGATAGTATTAAAACAATTATAAAAATAGAAGTTTACAAAGCGCTTTCAACACAGAGTGTTGTTACTTCCAGCACGCTACTTCTTCATTTTTTTCCTTTAGTATTCTTGAACGGCAATTTTGAGGCTCTCACTGCATTTTATGTTTCTTGTGTATGCTAAATTGCAGATAAGTAGATTAATAACACACAAAAAGTGAAAGAGGACCAAACTGGTTTTACCTAGTGGTGAACCTAGTATTCCAGGATTGACAAAATTGACTAAAGCATAAAATTCTTGAAGATCATTTTGGATCGGAGTTCCTGTCAATAAAATTCGCCTCGAGCAATCAAGCTTATTCAAGCACTAAAAATAACAGAAAATAAGAGATTAAACGACTTGACTTTAGAGACACCAGAGAGGATTTCTTGTTGACTGATGAACAATCGATGCAATTTGAAGAGAGCATTAAACTTAGATGAAATATTTAAATGAGGCACAGATTCTATTAAAATCCATTCTAGTCACATTTTACTGTTTGTGGTTTCCTTTAAAACTTCATCAAGAATCTTCTTTACTGACGAACTGTTTGGTGAGGGTAACGATGCACAGAGGAGGCGGCTCACACGCTCAGGTATGAAACGTATATATGCAAACGTACAGATTAAGTACGTAGGTACAAAAAAGAACGATACTGAAACAGCTTCGTTACATCAAAAAGATGTTAAATGAAAGGTCACTACATAAAGATATTCATTGTAAAATTCAAGAAATATTCACATAAAACTGAAACTTGAAAATCTCTTGAGCTAATGCTTCCTTCAGCACCTGGTGAAATTAAAGAAAAACCAGAATTGTCTTGGTCATCTTTTTTTATCTGAGCTAAAATAGCAAAATCATGCATTCAGAACCTCATTTCAGAACATCAATTTTGCCAGTGCCTTTCGTCTAACTTTTTGAATCTCTGCATCTCCTTGAGTCAAGATTTAAAAAAATTGTGAAAATACTTAAAGCTAGAATACATAATGTTCTTCTTAAGCTTGTTTACAGTTCACTGACTATACACGACTCCTGACGATGACTTACTGCATTACTACGCCTCACAAGCCCCTAAACTCAAAATTAAACCTACAAGGAAACTTGAAAGAGTTGAGAGATACTTACTGTTGCAACTTTGATATTTGTATTTTTCAATCGGTGTCCTTCATCGCATATGAGAAGATCAAACTTGATCTCACTTAAGTCTTCAGCCGATTTAACGTACATCTCGTAGGATATTATTAGAACAGGGTTTCTGTTTGCTGGTAACTTGCAATAATCACGGGCTTTGTTCTTCTGTAAAGAGAGGTGAAATATGAAAATGAGATTTTTTATTTTTTAAGATGTAAAGTCCATGCAAACTTGGAGAAAATGACACAAAACAATTGGACTGCATTTTGCAGTTTGGAACTACAGTTCCTGTCTCAGTTGAGAAACAACGTTTATACCATTACTTTCTCTATGCACAAAAGTGTTTTTACCGCTAAGCTAGAAATTCTAGTGCCGCATTGCAAAATGTAGTCCAAGTAGCACTAAGCAACAGTTTGTTTCACATTTGTAGAAGAAAGAGGAATTTTTATAATTAACCATATAACAGGCTTGAAGGGAGAGATTCACTTGCAATCAGAATTGACTAAAAACAGCAATAAAAGACGGCAGGTAAGAGTGGGGAGTGGCAGAGTGTCTATTTTCAGCAGATTGAGGCATTAAGCAACGATAGATTCTGCTGCGTCAAAACAAAAGCACCCGTAAGAACAAGGATAAACGGTTCCAAGAATTCCTTGAATGTTCAAAAAAAATTTTCAACTATGTGCTGAATTTTATTGACCCTTGATAACAGGGAAATTATATGATAGAAAAAAACTCAAACGTACTTGGTCAACAACAAAGACTTTGATTCGGTGACTGCCTAGCCATCGTATGAATTCATTCTGCCAATTTTTGGTTAAACTACTCGGTGTGACAATTAGAACCCTTTTACACAGCGGCTCTCCTTGATAAAAGTTTTGTCTGAGCATCGTCCTGAAAAACATTGCAAACAGTAGTTGAGATTTTTTTTATTCTTGCACATAATAATTATCTTAGCGATTGGACCTTGTACAAAAATGCATTATATGATAGTAGTTGAAGTAAAACATGAGCTCAAAACCAGGGTTGGCAAAAAATGAAGAATTTAAAACGAAATGTTGCCAGTCTTAGAAATGATACACTTCACAAGCTCATAATGGACCACTAGACAAGGTACCAATTCAAGCACTCAGATACATGCTTTTCAACCAGAATTTCATGCACAACACGATTTTTGCATCAAAAATTACAGAAATCAACTCCTAACTAAGATATCAACATTTTAATTTTACATTGGTTACAGGAAATTTGAATTGCCCGGTCACAAGAAACTCAATACTCCACATGAGTCAAATAGCGCTTTACAACGGTTTCGGCATGCTTCTTAATCGAGCACTGTTCTTTTCCCAGCTTTTATCGTTCAAAGTGTAAACAATTTGCTATAGCTGAGCCAAAGCATCATGATTGAGGCTACTATATGTTTGTATTGCAGATACTGCCACGGTAACGTTTCGTATGCGATTTGACTCACGCAGACCACTGAGTTTTCATGAGTGGGAGGTTTGAATTGACGAGTCAAAAAACATTAAACATCTTGGCCAGGAGTTAATTTCAGTAACTTTTGTTGCGCAAATTGTGTTCTCCATGAACTTAAACCGGAACCTAACCTGAACTTGAAATTTTGATCCAATGTTCTTGAGAGTATTGCAAAGCATTTTGTATTAAAATCTGAAAACAGAGTTTTTTGAACACAGATAAGTTTTTCCATTGTACTGAGCTATTCCTGTTTCCACCCCAAGAGAACTTTTGCCTAAATTAATTACGAGTATGCTGATTGAAGAGGAATTACCAGATTACTGTGATGGATTGAAGAGTCTTCCCAAGGCCCATTTCATCTGCAAGAATGGCTCCAAAGTAGTTGATATCTCTCACTCCAGAGACACAGCTGAATAAAAATTTGACACCTTCTCTTTGATGATCACGAAGCACTCGGAGTAAGAATGCTTCAATTGAAACGTCAACCACGGGCCTGTGATTTTCATTAAATTTCCACTGGAAATTCAAAATTTCATTAGGGAATACAGTCAAACCTTGGTTATCTAATGCTTCGTCATACAGCGCTTCAGTTATCTGGCAAATATTCTAAAGTCATTTTGGTAATTTTCAAGGACATTTTTCCGACCCTCAGGCCAGTTTCTACAATTTTTTGTGTTACTTCTGATGTATAGGATGGATTTTCAATTATTTGGTGTGGGCCTGCGCCACATATTTCTTGATAACCGGGGTTCGCCTATACAACTGTAATGTAGTGCTAATGAATATACAATGGTATGTACTCTTCACTGAGAAGGCCATGAGAAAAAATGATACAATTGCTAAAATGAAAGGAAAAATTACTAAAACCAAGCATGATGAAAAAAATTTAAACCTTTGACTGTAGTAGAGTTTTATCTTATCAGTGATAAAATATGATATTATCACTTTTCAGCGTGAAAAACTTTTCGAAACTAGCTAGACAATAAGAAAAAAAAGGCAGTATATAATATATAACTATTCAAAATGATGCAATTGGGCAGATAACACACTACTGAAACAGACAATAAACTATTTAATTGCTCATGCGGCAGGCTTGCCTTATTTTATTGTGAGCCATACATAATACTTCAGAGGTCCCAAAATTTTTTTATGACAAAGCAGGAAACTTGGCATTCAGCAAGGACTTAATAGAAATTACTGCTGAACTAATTTCACCAATACAATGATAGCTAAAAGCCCCTAATTCCAGAGCGCAAAGCATACTATGAGGTTGCAACAACTGGATGAAACATTCTTACATATGAATACTTCAAGGCATGACGTAAAGTTATCATAAATGAGTTATTAAGATAGATATAGTTAATACAGTGCACTTAGTATAGTAGTCAGCACAGTCAAAGAGTTATTATGTTACTTGGGAGTTATATGCCATTGTGAAAAAAATGAGCTTAATATTTTTGTCTTTGCAGACCTCAATCAATGACAAGAAATGCAATGATCATGTAGAAAACGAAGATTTTTAAAAGATGTGATTGATAAATTTCTTACCTGATGTTCATACGATGGTTTTGGTAACACCAAAGGTTTCAAATTCTGCATGCTGATGGCAGACTTCCCACGACTGAAGAGTGGCACGCACCTCTTTGCTGTAGAAGCGACAACTTTTGGGTAGCTGCGGGTCTTCCACTCCGGCGATTTCTCTGCTGAATCACTGACCTCTTGTAAAATCTCCACTTCTTTGGATGCGATGACGAAACGACTTCCACTTTCGACGGAATCAATTTTTGATCGCCCTAGCACCATACCATTGGTTTTCTTGAGCTCTCCTACTTTAGTTTCTACATTGAACTCAAGGATGCCATCTTCCTCCCATGTTTTATTCTTCTTTGTCGAGACTTTCGCCATCATAACATTAAATTTTCTGTAATTGTAAATTAAATTTCTAACTTTTGAGATTAATTATAATTGCTGATTTAATTTATTTACAAATATTACACTTAAAGACGTATGTACATTTAAAAGGAACAGACAAGACCTCACCTAAAATTATTTGATGGGTTTGCCGTATTGCATTCATTGCTTTGAGAGTCATTGGAAGGCAAAAAGTCTGGAGTAAGGCTCAAGTCTTCAGATTCTGTTGGAGTTGAAAGTAAAGCTAGAACATCTTGCACTGATCGCTTGCGGGTGACTTCATTTTTTTGGTGGGCAAGAGCTGAAATTTTTGTAGACATAGATTAAAGTTTATTGCGACACCAGGTTATAGTTGAAAAGAACATTAGTGATTTTAAGCAAATGGATTCAGGTCAAATTTCTAATTCCAAATCAAATTTTCAGATTTCAAAAATAAAAATAATACCTAGGTGCGTGTATTTTGCTTCGCTTTATCAGAAACCATTTCACAGATTTGCGAAAATATAATTTTTCTTAGCTATGTTTTGCTACTTTTAACCAATGAGGTGAAAGGATCTGTCAGAAAAAGTTTATTTTCCTACGACTAAAATTTAAGCATTGAGTGCAGAACTTTCAGCTGTCACTTATCAGTTACACTGTTCCAGAATCTTTACTGCTCATCATTACTATGAGCTCTCTAACCTCTTAAATTTTCATTTCTTGTCACAGAGCGTTCTGCCGTTCTACTGGGCCGACTGCCAACTTCCATGATTTGTGTACCTGTCCGGTAGAATAGCCCCTAGCCTACTCTGTGAAGATTTTGGAAATATGATCAAAGTTTCTACATATCACATGATGAAAATGTCTTTAAAGTTGGGACATACTTCAGAAATTTACTTACAGGGTGCACAAGAAATTAGAGGAGTGGTTAGAGTTGATAGATTTCCACTTGATGAGGGTTCGACACAGGAGCTTTTGAAAGTCGTAAAGAGGCTTGGCTTTGGAGCACTGTTTACAATTTCTGTATTAAGAGGCTTTACTTCTGTTTTAACCGTCTGAAAAAAGAAAACCATGAAATTAAAATCCAAATTAGCATCAGAAAGGGTTTGCAGAGCATTCAGATAAAATCCCGTCGAGTACTGTAGTAAAATAAAGAGACCATTACATTATGAAAACAACATGTCACGCACCTATAATATTGACAAGGCCTTTTCACACAAAGGCAAAATTTTCAGGAGAGCTATTTTTGCTGTGGTAAGTTGACAAATCGGTCAGATTAGCAAAATCAGTCTAACTGCATTTTGCGCTGCCTACTGCCTTCCTGAGTTTTATTTTTATGTAGAGAGCCAAAAGACATAAAGCCTCGAAACTTTCTGTGGATTGCCCTGGATTATGAAAAATATACCTACTCACAAAATTTTAAGTCAGAGTGTTAATTAGTTTTCTGTTGGAAAAAGAAAATGAGGTAAGGTTTGATGTAGTTAGACTGATTCTGATTAATTAATAAAACTAGTGATTCAGTTTTCAAAAAAAAAAAAAACATGCTCTGGTATCTAGAAAAATAATCTGCGAGTGGTTAGGTTTATATTAATTTCAATAAGAATTGTAAAACTAATTTTGTTTTGATGAATCACAGATCGGAACAAAGCAAATTAAACCTTGGATAGCTTGTCCTCAAAATTAAAATTTTTAAACCACAAACTTTGAACTTCAATTGCGTCATCTCCATGCTAAAATGTTTGTGAAATAGTCCTGTTAGTAGTGGTACCAATCCCTTAAATTTGAGGTTTCCAACAATAAGGAATAGACTCTCTTCTGGATTTTTCCCTAAGAATGCCCTGCCATCTTTCCTGCGTAAGCCGCCTCCATTTGTAAGTTTGATTGAGATTATCTTGGCTCCTATCGGATCAAATCACCTAATTTTTTGGTTTTGGCCTTGATGATAGCTGATTAAAGTTTCATTCAAATATACCGAGAGCCAGTAAGCTCCTACGGGTGAGCAGGGCTTTTGCAGAAAAAAATAATAATCACACCTTTGGAGGTTCAAAGGAACTGGGAGGCTTGAAGTGTTTCCTGGTCATTGGATTTATTTTTGGAAAGGTAGTTTCCGATGATTCGTGCAGATTTTGAGTTTTGGAGGATGAAACACTGTTAATCGGACCCAAAACATCAACGACTTTCCCTCCGATACTAAAATATTCTTCCTCTTCCAGCATCTCCATCTTGAAATTTGCTTTGGTCCCTAGGATTTTGCCTTTATCATCCTTCAAAGTTGCTAGTTTCTCGTCTAGGTCGATCAGCAGCGTTCCATCGCCATCCCAGGTTTTGTGCTTCTTTGTGCTTGGTCTTCCAAAGACAACTTCATAAATTCTGGAATTTTAAAATTGGACACTTCAATTATAAAAAGGACTTGACAGATATCAAACTGTTTTTTTTTTTCTTTATTTTTATTTTTAACCATGAGGTAAAATGAATTAAATCACAATAAAGCATCAGCGTTTATGACAGTTTCTAATTCCAGAATCGAGGACTTCCAAAAACAACGATTTCCAAGACTTAAAAAAAACAGGGTGTCTACAGACTGAATAGAAAGGATTTCCCTGCCTTTTTCAAGTTTCTCTTGACCAAATAATTCTTTCTGATTTTCCACATTGACAATTTGCACACTTAGAACTGAAAATTAACGACGTATGACATTGATTTCACTGCTAATGCTAGAAAAATTTGAGCAATATCTCTTCAGATGTTAATCATTCAATGGACTAGAACTGCAATTATTCTTCATCAGAACTGATATCTCCGTTCACTATTTAAATTGTAACTCAGAGCATTGAACCCCGAACCAGATTCAGACTCAGTTTGATTGTGTGGGCAGTGCTGATATTTTTTCAGATTTCAAGTTTCAAGATAATCTTTTTGGTCTTTTTCACAAAATTCCATGACTTTTACCTGATTTTCCTGACCAGATAAAATTCCCCAACAGTTTATTAATTGGCGTAAATTAATTGGAAATTGTCACCACCCTTTTTTTCTCCATGGGTGAAAAAGATATGGAGTCAATGAGTCAAATATTCTGTGATCACCCTATCAGCGCTGAAAGTGACTTTGCACAAATCACTTCAAGCATTCAATTGTATATCAATCAATCAATTGTATAGCGATCAATTGTAATCAATTAATTGTACATACCCTTGAAACTTGATAAAGATTCATGAAAAGAGCAACAAAGTTAAGAGGAAAATAGGTCAAATCTGATATTTTGAAATCAATGAAATAAGTGGCGAAATAAAACCTTGTATTATTGGCTGTTTTGCTTGATTCTTGATGGTGATAACTGCTGGACGAATTGATGTTGGTCGAATTACAATTTTCAGCATCATTTTCGAAATCACTATCCAAGAAAGCTGGGTTAGACTGCTCAGCAAAAATTTTTGGCTTAGAGCAAAAATTGTTCCCTGTTGTTGATGACACAGATGATCCTGTGGGGCGGAGAAAAAATTAATGGTTTCTGCACTTAGGTTGCATGCAAAGAGTAAAGGCTTCATTATAAAAGGGGTTAAACCCCCCCCCCCCCAAATATATATAGAGAACAATGCGCAATGAAAGGTATAAAAGTAACATTCCGAGCAAGGTTGATACTGTTTCTTTTAACAAGAGATTTCACAATGCTCCAAAAAGTTAATGAATTTGAACAAATTACTTGCTGTAACAGATGTTTTCTCTTAAAAAATTTAGAAGTTCTACGAGGACATTTTTGAGCCATTTCAACTAAAATGATCTTATTTTAATTGAATGAGAGAATGACTGAAGAGATAAACCGCAAGAAAATGATCTCTGGTGAAAAATCAAAAATTGAGTCGCACAGGAGTCTGAATTTTAAAAATGAAGACTGCACTTAAATGCCCCCCCTTCTAGCTTGTTGAGTTCCTGTGAATGATTTGATCATAAATGTAGAAAAACAGTTTAAAAAATTGAAGTGAAGAATTATTTGTCTCACCGGCAAATAGATCCTCTGTTTCAGATGTTCCATGGTCATTGAGCCTCTGTTTTGGCTTGACCTGTAATAAAAAAAAAAAAAAAAAAAAAAAAAAAAAAAAAAAAAAAAATTGAGCTGCGAAGATTAGAATAAATCACACTATTACACTAAAACTATCTCAAATGTCACAGACTGAAGTTGCTCCCTTGTGTCTTTTAAAATGTTAGCGACGTGCAACAGCTGAGCCAAAGCACAGAGATTGAGGTTGCCATATACCGCAGAGACTGTTATGATACAGTTTAATACATGATTTGACTTGGGTAAAATTTTGTTTTTACATGGGCAAAAGGTTGGACTTCACCCATCAAAAAGCAGTAAATATTCTTATTAGAAATTAATTTTAGTGATATTCATTGCTTGAGTCGTGTTTTACAAGAAATTCTGATCATAAGATGTTTCAGGCATAAGTGGATTGCATTTTGCAATAAGGAACCACTAGCATTGCAATGATGCTAAGATTGTGCAACTTCATCCTTTGCAATAAAATTGCGGAAATTGTGAAAAACTATGAAAGGAGGGGTGGCGATTTGGGCCATTTCCGGCCCCACCTAATCCGGGACTTTTTTTGCTGTGATTCGTTACGTATAAGTGTCAAGAGAAAGCATGCCAAGTTTCAGGCCGATCGGCCCAATATTCGGGGGGCAGGGGCCCCCCGAATTTTTAAGCGCAAAATCGGTTTTAATTTTGTAGCGCCGTCAATTTCGCTCGTATACAGATGAAAATCGGGTGTCAGGGGTAAAATTTTGCGTTCTTTCCATTTCCGCCGTCAAAATTGACACTGGGGAAAAATTAAGGGGGATTTTGGGGGGTTTTTCGCGTTTTTTCGCGTTTTTTACCAATTTTCTGCGGTTTTCATGCTTTAAGTCAGAGATTTTGAGCCAAACGACCACAGATTTGATTTCTACGCAAAAAATTACACAGGAACACAATGACCAACTAACACTAAACGGCGGATTTCTCTAGGAAAAACTGACCCATAAGTATGTGTTCACTCAGAAATTTTGAAAATAGCCATGTTTCGGGTACAGCCCAAGCTTGTAGCACTACCATATTCACATATGATACGCTCTAGGTCGACCCTGTTGATATTATCGGGAACTTGAAATGCTACCCGCTTGGGCGGAGGGTCGAATTCTCCTCAGAAACGAATAAAAAAGGCGATAAAATTACGTTTCACGTGAATTGTTGCGAGCGGAATGTTATTATATCGGCAACTTTCACCTCCAACTTATGTAATTTTTTGCGTGCTTTCCATTTCTGCCATGAAAATTGGCATCAAAGCAATTTTAAACGGGTTTTTGGGGTTTTTTATCATTTTTTAATCATTTTTTACCAGTTTTTTTCCGGTCTTTTGCGGTTTTCATGTTTGAAACCTCACCAAATGATCCAAACGACCACAAATTTTAATTTTCCTCAAAATACGTTTACTATCACATCCATAAAATACGTCACGGATGAATCGTATAGCAGAAGAAATGTTGTGTAAAATCCTTATCTCTCATTCTGAATCCTCGTCAGACCATAAGTAAGCAGCATCCTCTAGGCAGTCTCCATAAGAGGATGACAATCTTCGGGGCTCTTTTTCTTGATGTCGGTAAAAACCAAGAAACCACAGGACTGATATGCCACATGAGGTTTCAAACACGAAAACCGCAAAAGACCGGAAAAAACTGGTAAAAAATGATTAAAAAATGATAAAAAAACCCCAAAAACCCGTTTAAAATTGCTTTGATGCCAATTTTCATGGCAGAAATGGAAAGCACGCAAAAAATTACATAAGTTGGAGGTGAAAGTTGCCGATATAATAACATTCCGCTCGCAACAATTCACGTGAAACGTAATTTTATCGCCTTTTTTATTCGTTTCTGAGGAGAATTCGACCCTTCGCCCAAGCGGGTAGCATTTCAAGTTCCCGATAATATCAACAGGGTCGACCTAGAGCGTATCATATGTGAATATGGTAGTGCTACAAGCTTGGGCTGTACCCGAAACATGGCTATTTTCAAAATTTCTGAGTGAACACATACTTATGGGTCAGTTTTTCCTAGAGAAATCCGCTGTTGAGTGTTAGTTGGTCATTATGTTCCTATGTAATTTTTTGCGTAGAAATCAAATCTGTGGTCGTTTGGCTCAAAATCTCTGACTTAAAGCATGAAAACCGCAGAAAATTGGTAAAAAACGCGAAAAAACGCGAAAAACCCCCCAAAATTCCCCTAAATTTTTCCCCAGTGTCAATTTTGACGGCGGAAATGGAAAGAACGCAAAATTTTACCCCTGACACCCGATTTTCATCTGTATACGAGCGAAATTGACGGCGCTACAAAATTAAAACCGATTTTGCGCTTAAAAATTCGGGGGGCCCCTGCCCCCCGAATATTGGGCCGATCGGCCTGAAACTTGGCATGCTTTCTCTTGACACTTATACGTAACGAATCACAGCAAAAAAAGTCCCGGATTAGGTGGGGCCGGAAATGGCCCAAATCGCCACCCCTCCTTTAGATGGTAATTTTTGTCTTAAATTTACAGTTTTTAGTGAGTAAAATAGAAACTATTAAGGGATAATCGGGTTTTTCCTCCAAGACAAAAGAAGTTGCACAATCTTAGCAACATTGCAATGCTAGTGGTTCCTTTTTGCAAAATGCAATCCAAGTATCAGAATGCTTGAAGCACCTTGTCAAGTGGTCCATCATCAAAACCAAGTATCTGCATTAATTAGTTGATTGATACAAGCTTACCAGACTTGTCGTCCTTGACAATTGGACTTGACAGGGTTTTTTTGAGAGAGGAGGATTATACAGATTTCCGGCGCTCCTTTTTGACGGATTCTGCTTTACAGGCTGACATGTATTTTCACTCAGAAGACCAACGACATCAACAACCTTACCACCGATGTTCAAGAAATTACCACTTTCCAACTCATCAAGTTTGAATTTGCTTATTTGGCCTAGGACTTTACCATTACTGTCCTTCAAAGTTGCTGTATTTTTTTCCACATTGACAAGCAATGTGCCATCACCATCCCAAGTTTTGTGTTTTTTTGTGCTTGGCTTCCCAAAAACGACTTCATACAGCCTGGAAAAATGGTAAGAAAAAAAAAATGATGATAATAAGATAACCAAGTTAAGTTACAAAGGTAAAAACTCTGAAAAAATAATATAGTAGTCAATCAAGACGTAGATAGCTACCTTGCTCATCAAGGCAAGTAAAATATTGATGCACTGCAATATTTATCTACTGTATTAAAAGGCATGACATTAATTCTTTTGAAACATTATCCACATTATTAAAAGATAAAATGTGTACACAGAATGACCAACAAAAAGATAGTACACAGCCGTAGACTCCTTGAAGAAAACTGATTTTAGTGAGGAGGAGCAAGGGGGGCTATTCACCACAAATCAATGGTTTCACAGTGGTTTTTGCACACTTGTTCCATATCAAGAGAGATTTTTTCAGGGTTTTTCGTGGAAATAAAGCAGAGCTGCTGTTCTACGACCAATTTGTTCTTAATTTATTTTGGAACAATATTTGAATGAATGTAACAGAAAGTTTCCTGGGATGGATGTCACTTTAAACAAAATTCTTTTCACATTGTGCTTTGCTGATAATCAAAAGGTTATTACTCAGGATGATACAGAATGCATGGATCAAAAGATGCGGGAATGGAGCTTAGAAGTGATATAAGTGCTTAAATCAGCAAGGACGACATGACAGCGAGAGGATATCAGCCAAAAATTGAGTTAGAAGATGACTCAGATATCAGAGCCTGTGAACAACATAAATACCTAGGGGTATGCTTCACATCGGATGGCGGAGGCAAATTCATTATGTGCTTGTTAAAAATGACAAGACAAAGAAGTGATCTATCCCTGACTGACAACTTACTTTTCTGTTCCTTGAGTTGAGTTTGGACTTGGTGCGCAAGGACTGTCTTGGGCTTTTTTAGCCTTATCGGAAAATGGTGAAGTTGAGAAGGAAAAATCAGTATCCGAGTCTTGTGAATCAGACAATAGACTCAGAACGCTTTCTCTTGATCGAGCAGCTCCTGAAATATTCTTTTCTGAAAAATTTCGTCCTGAGAACAAAAAAAGCGGCTGGATGAGAAAAATTCAAAGACAAAAAATTTTATTGTAAACAGATGGGCATTTGATCTTTCAATTTTATCACAATATTTTAGCAACGAAAAGAAAACACCAATAAATGCAAACTAACTTGCAAAAATAACTACTTAGGCCTCTCACCTTGAGAGGTTGGGAATTTACCAGATGAGTAGTATGGCAATTTTTAGGCGACACACAGGTAATTGAGTCTGGAAGATCTCCATTTTCTACATTTTTCAACATATGTAGGAATTCAGGAGTACAGAAAATGCTCAAATGCATGAGCATCAGCTTGTATGAGCTGAGAAAATTTTACAAATAATTTTTTTTTGTTACTTATATCTTATATTTTTTTTCCCTCTGTGTACCTTTAGAGATAAAGAAAAACAGAAAAGCGCGCTGATTTTAGAAAGTTTTGGGCTCAATGTGTGTTTAAAATCATTGAGCAGAGTGGGGGACTTTGTCATTGATAAGGAAATTCGAAAGCTAATACTGCGAATTTTTTCCTTACCATGGAACAATCTGCACCTCTTCAGATCTGTTATTGAAAGACTGCATAGTTGAGATCAGCGCCTGACTACGTTTTGGCTGCTCACTTACTTTTGTTTATAACTTATCTATGGCATCCACAAAAAAGTGCCATTATCCTGACCTGTTTATAGTTGGGAGACAGAATTCCATGAGTTCCCAGAATAGGTATATACCTTCCAGAATATGAGCTTGAATGATTCAAAAACCCTTAGTTAAGATACTAAATTTTTGTGTCTTTCAATGACTTCTTGAGCAATCCAAAATTTTATTAGGAGGAAAGCTACAGATGAAGTCTTACCAAACGGCCCAGGTGGAGCTTGCGATCCTGTGGCAGAGTTTCGAGAGGGTGCTCCAGACTTTCGCATTTTTGAGATCTTCAGGTAATGCTGAAAAATAATTGGAACATTAAAAAATTGTTTTGAATCAAATACCCCACCTCAGTGACTCCTGACTCTTTTCACTGTACTATCTGTAAACTCTTGAGGGATAGTCTCTAATTTTGAGAGGTTCATATGAATAGACTGAATTTTAATTTTTTAGCTGTAGATTGTGGATAAGATCTGGTGCAAACTGAAGGTTCAACGAGTTATAATGCATTGTCTCGTCCTCTAGCCTCACTTTCCAGAACTTCAGTTACGCATCAATCATTACCTATTTAAATCTGTTGCGTACTAGTTCCTATTATATTGGAGTCAATACCACGCATGCTGCTAAACGTTGTATCATTTTAGAATAAAACAGAACTACCATTGTTCAGATCAATTTTTAAGAAAATTATGATTTTCATAAACAAGGAATGAACTATGTGTTGGAGTATTTTGATTTTTGATTGGAACTTTTAACATACCTGCTTGGGATATATCTACTGTGCGAAAGTATTGAGCAACGCAAAGCCTATTTCTTCATTTTAGTGGATATAAATGAAATATTCTACACTGTTTTTAAATTAATTATGATCATAATCAGAAACTGCAGACGGATTGATAAGAATTTTTCATCATGGTTTCATTTGTTTACTTTCGACTAGAGTGAAATTTGGCGCGAAAAAGGGCATCCATCTTGAAACCAACAGTTTAAATTTTACACTAAAAGTAATCTACTGCGGACAGTAAAAGTTGCAACAAAGTTGAATGATTTTCTCAAGGTTCGGCGGCGAGGAACTAATGTTTGAATTCATATATATTATTTTTACATTTATTTAGAATTTGAAAGTACTTAAATGCATTCTGTGAAATAATGGAACGATTATATATTTGTTTGTTTTTCTCAGTTTTGAAATTAGAAGTTGCTAGACTTGAGTGTCATTCACTTTCTTTTACACTGTTATCCGATTAACAACAATAATACTGATGCCCAGCTTTTTGTAAGGTAAATTTAAAAATGTTTGTACAATTTGACAACGGTGTGCTCTTATTTTTGACATTTGGCCATGATAATGACGAAAATTCGTGAAATGTGATGTCGAAATGCTGTGTTCATGCCGCTTTACGTTTACATAAAATACGTGTTCGCAACTGTGTGGTTTTGGATTTCTGTCGTTTCAATTTAAGTGAATTTATCTACCGCCTCATGATAAGTGTTATCCGTATTATGCTGCGTAATTTCTTTCTTACACGCCTCAAAATCTCTAATGTTTGATCTCGGCTCCCACGATACGAGATATCATGTTTTTAGCGGACTGCTCACGCTGAAAGGCGAGGAAACGCCGCTCCCTTGTACACAATTTTAGATTTGACTTCTTATTTATTGTATGATTAGACGATACTACACTGTTTCAAGTCAAGTAGAATCCCAGGAATTTGCTCCTAGCTGAAAGGGGTTCCTAGGTTTTGCCACTCATCGTGCTTTGACAGAAATATTTGTTGTCAAGTTTGTAATAAACCTTTGGATTCATTGCAAGTTCTTGCAGACCTCTGATTCTCCAATGCACGAATTTTTTTCAGTTAAATAAGCGCACGTTGTTAAACTCAAAATGGAACCGGCTCTGTTTAACGATCATCTAGAGCGCCTCAACTTGGAAGATGAGGGGTAAGTCACTTCTCCATCAACTGATAAGATAAAGCTTCCACTAATCTTGCTACCTACCAACTCACCTTTTTGAGTATGTTTCTACTCCAGAATCAGTGAAAACATTGTAACATTAGCTATTGACGCATTCTGCTAACCATTCAACTGTATAGTCTCTTTTATAGTCTCAGGTCGAATAGCTTTGAAGATGTTGTATCTCCCTCAGAGCATTTATGATTCATTGTAAGTACCTATGTACCTAACTAGTTGACCATGTGTCTTTTTTTATTTGCATTGGCGGCGTCATTTTGATTCTCCATGGATTCGTTTCACTGTCCATGGAATATCCCTATCCAAGGATGTATTGGGCGTAACTGATGCAATAGAATTTTTAATGTAGAATTTACAAGTGAATTGTCCTTTTTTAAAGGTGAAATTTTAAGATAGGGCTAATAGGGCTAGAGTAGTGCTTGAAAGCTATGCATTTCATCCATAGAGAAAATACTGAAGGTGGCGAGGCAACCTTTGTTTATTATACAAAAAAGGAAACAGGTACCTATACACGGTGTTTAGATAAATTCTCAAAATTGTGGAAGTCAGGAAATCCTTCTGATTGCATGTTGCAGCGTGCAATAATAAATCTTGCTGTTCATTATGTAGCTCTGCTACCTCTCCTTAATTGCTTGTCTAATTGATTTTCATGAATTTTCAGGAGTGATACCGATGAAGGTAACTCAGTAGAACCCTTACATGTTGATGACATATACGATGATATTTTAAATGATTATGATGTTTATGGCTCTACTCCAACGCGTACTCGGATTTCAAGAAAATTGAAAGAAAGGAAGCGATGGGAGAAAGAGCGAGGGTAAGCCAGTTATTATTACTTACCTACCTAACCTAATTAGGGTCTTCACAAACTTAGAAAAATTGCTCGCACTGTCAAGCAGTGCCTCTGTGACAGCGTCTCATGAAATTCCCAAATTGAGATGCGATTCTAAGCACTTTCCAGACAAATAAGTAATACACCAAATGGAACGCGCCGTAATTGTGCATGTAATACACCAAATGGAACAATACACAAAATTTACATACAATACAGGAGCATGATGAGGGGAAGGGGGTCAAAGAATCCAAAATTTAGCATTCCATATTTTATAATTAGCCCCTAATTTCCCTTCCTCATTGATCATTCTAGACAGGCAAGGTTGAGAGCAGTGGTTCAAATTATCCTGAAAGTAACTCTCCACCCCCACCCCCCAACGAAAAATTTATCATTTAAAAAGATAAAAGGTAGGGGGTAGATGAGAACGAAAAGGATACAAACAGAATCTCTAAGTCTCTTTTTGTGAAAGTTAAACTCAGGTGCAGTTCAATTTATTAATCTAACAATTTAACAAGTTCTGTACCCATTCTGGAAATGCGACTCATCAAATGAATGTTAACATATCTGCGGAGCGGATGACTTCATCGATGATTACAGATCTATAATGAGCCAATAGATCAGGAGCTAGAATTAGGTGAAGCATTGCAGAAAAATATTTTCTCAGTAAAATTTCATGCAAAATACAGCGCAAGCCTGCTTGGTAAGAAAATCAAAATCATCTCTAGCCCATCTGACCATTGAAAAAACAAAATTAATACCATCGCTTCCAGAAAAATTGTCTGTTTCCTTTGGTACACAGTCAGAAATGGTCAATAATTATACAGCAAGCTGAAACATTTTACTTTTTGCAAAGCAGTCCAAAATTACGCGAGTAACCAGCTAAGTTAACTCAATTACCCATTGGTTTTTTGATAAACAAGAATTTTGAATTGACACAAATTTCCTAAAACTGCTAATTTTAAAGTATTAGTTGAATTCTGAAATTTGAATGGGAAAAGAGTAGTGCTCAATTTTTTTACTTTGTTTTTTAGTCTATAACAAGATGCAAATAGTATTGGAAAAACTTTACGAATTCGTCTCCTTATTACAGCGAAAATATTACTCCCTATTCCTCCCGGAGTTTGATAACATGAAGCAAAATGAGTGTCTTATTAACATTTTAATGTAAAATTCAACATGTTATTTTCTTATGCCATTGAAAATGTCTACTTTTACAGGATAGTGAAGCCGCAAACCTCAAAAACAACCAGAACACGGAATAGTTCTGACCAGCCAATATTTGACTTGGACAAAGGAGAGAGTAGTGAAGATGAGACTGATAGCCGTAAGTAATGTTCTTTTTAACAGATTGACTTGACATGTCAGCTCAATGGGAGTGGCAGTGACTGGTCCCCCATGGCTGTAGAAAATGGCGAAGAAAGATGCAAGCTGATACATTCAGAAAACTTGCAAGAAATTTAGGGATCACAATAAAACAACAGTAGTACACTCTGTAAGATTCTGTGTTAATGTTTAATTTCACGCTAACAATCAGTCAACACACAGTGCCACCTCCGCTCTGATAGCTACCAAACTATGGTTTATAACAAGGTAGAGAAATGGTGCTGAGTCCACACCATTCCACAGGGAAAACAAAGCCCAGAAGTTCCAAAAATTTTGACTAGAGTCAAAAATAATTTCTTCTTAATTCTAATGAGTACCAGTACACAACTGAGGGGTGAGAGTGTTCAGCTCAGGCAGTTTGCATTGGAATATTAGGTTGAGATCATGCTGAGAGATTTATATCGGTTTGAGTCTTTTTAGGCGTCATCAGTAGATCACACTCGTCAGTGAGCCCAACATAGCATCCCGCAAAACCCAAGACGGCATTAAAACACCATCATGAATATGGCCCAAGGCATGACACGAAAGTATGATCCTCGCGGCATCTACCATCGCTGCTGAATGGCTTATATAACGCTGGTCAACATTGACTTGGTGTTGGAATCCTAGGACCAGGCCCTGAGAGTGACTAAGCCGTCAACATGTACAAAATCTGTTTTATGCTATTAAGAAGTTTCAAAATGAGAAGCAAAACAAGTTAAAATGCTCCTGCAATTTGCATTCAACATAACTTAATAGTTATTTGCAGAACATATGTAATTGGTTTTAAGTAATGGCTTTTTCAACCTTGTTAATTTTCTTTCTTTTATCTCGGCCAATTGAAATACAAACTGCGAATTCTGATGAACTCATTTAATTAATTGAGCAAGATTCCGATAAGTTCAACATATTGTACATGAAAAAAAAGACAAAGGAATAATGATTTGTAGTGTTTACAATTTTTACCCTCTCTAGTGATCAGTATTTCTACCAAATAGAACTATGTATATGTGAACAAGATGGGGTGTGCTGTGTTAGTCGAGGGCCGTAAGAATGAATGAGAATTATGAAATGCCAGTACTGTCAGCGGCGAAGAGGCCGGCGCCGTTGTCGGTGGTGGCAGTTACTTACTCATGAGCCCTGTTCACAGGGCTCTTGTCCAGTGCCCAAGGCTCATGAGTCCCCTATAGGGTTGGCACAAAATTTCGTTTGCTGAATTGGAAAAGCAGGATTTTACATTCTGTCCAGTTGTTCTGAGCATTTAATTAACGGGAGTAGCAAGAGCAAAATCTTAAAGAGTGAAAAATCCTGAGAACTTAGCTTGAACTGGTACCATATTAATATTCTCTGTTTGTAAAATAATATCAGCATATTGGTAACAATCATGAAGTTAGACATACCTATTTGTGTTTGATAATCTATAACCGCCAAAAGACAATAAGTAAAAGAGACAACCTTTTCCAGTTTATATTTTGATTTTGTTTTCCTCCCATATAAATCTTAATAGTAATGGATACAAATTTGAAAAAGTATAATAATTACAAGGACATAACATGTTTACATTGACTAAGAAAAGAAAACCCTTTGAACAACTAATTATGTGTTCTAAACAGCAGTAAAGACAAAAAGGAGAAGAGGCTTATGTAAAACATCAAGCACCAACGATTCAGAGAGAAAAAGTTCATTTTTCATGAAAAGATAGAATTTTAATCCAAGCATTTTGTATGCTATTCTTCTCCCTCAGAAAACTTTCTTGCATCAGGGGTCTGTAAACATTGCCTTTTCTCTCCTTGAATGAAATTTCGATTCAAGATGGCTCTATCCTGGAAGTGAACAAACATCAATATTTAGAGCAAAGCTCACTGAAATTGGGACTTCACTCTGGACATCTTGCTGTAACGGAAAAATTTGGCATATTTCAGTTGTCAATTCCTGAAAAATGTGATTTGTCAATCCTACCTGTATAAAAACCAAATTTTACCAGTAAATGACAGATTCAATTTGTGAAATTAAACAGTAATGATCAAGTTTCTCAGACATTAGTTTAGAATATTTAAAAGAGTTTTTCAAAACAAATCTCTGAAAGGTGCATCTTACTTGTTTTTGTCAAAATTTACAAACAACCAGTATTTTAGGAAAAATTTTGAGGGGAAGAGATATCTCATTCATCACTCAATATCTGCAACATGTAGGCTAGAAGGCATGTTCTGCTGTGTTAAGAAGAAAGATGTTGGGACGTTGTTGAATTTTTTTTAATTAAATGTGAAACTTCCGATGCAAATTGCGTGTTGGTTGTAGGGAAAATTGTAATCGCAATTTAATCTACGGGCTTCGAAAATTTTTTAGGAAAAATCTTTTTACTTTTTTCCAAAACTGAATATTTGATTGCAGATATGGCATAATTTGAACATTCATAAGATGTTTTTCTTAAGGGCAACAATGCAAGGGTCTCCTACAATAATACTTAGATCATTTACCCCTTTATTGTCATTTGGACCACATTTTGCAATAAGGAACTATCATCTATAACCATTATACAAACAACAATCGTTTCATTAGTTTCCTTGTCCAAATAGATGCTCTAATAGATGAGTGAATATGTATATGATGAGTAAATAAGGAATGGAGATGTTGCATGTGTGAGGAATTTGCGATTTGACTTTTGATGTTTAGGTAAAAGTTCGCGAGAAACACGATGGTGCCACTGGCTTTCTCTGAAATCAACTCCCAAGCTCCAAAAAAGCTCTCAAGTTGAAGCCAAAATGGTGGGGATATCCCACGCTATCCTAAGAGTCCACCTCTACATCAAGAAAAACTCTCCATGCAAAGATAGGGAGCAAATACATTAGCAGTGATGCCGTGTTTTCAGTTTTGGAATCCCCAAATAAAGTGGCAGCCCTGTCAATGTTAGATAGTCAATGTATTTGCCCCTATCTTTGCATGGAGAGTTTGTCTTGATGTAGAGGTGGACTCTTAGGATAGTGTGGGATATCCCCTCCATTTTGAACTCAACTCAAGAGCTTTTTTTGAGCTTGGGAGTTGATTTCAGAGAAAACCAGTGGCACCACCGTGTTTCTCGCAAACTTGCACATAAGAATCAACAGTCAAATCGCTAATTCCTCACACATGCAACATCTTCATTTTAGTTCCATATTGCAATATATAATCTTTTTATTGAACATTTCTTTGGAGCCTTTTACAACAGTTTTGAATGATCTCACTTTACAGAAAAATCAACGAGTAAGGGGAAGAAGCGGCACCTAAAGTTATTACGTGGCTCAGAGAGAGACTTCAAACTTGACTTCAGTGACATGAACCACTCTTCAGCGCCTTTTTGCGAGATAGAGGCAGAAATGCCAGGCGAGGCCGCTCCCACTATCAAGGTAAGAGCCTGAATTTCAACAGGGCACTGGGTGATTGTGGCTATGTTTCTGCATGTCACCTGGAAATACCATATTGAATTATTGACTGCAGAAAGATTAAAAGCTGAATCACTGTATGTCAAAACCTAATCTATGATTGATAAAGCACCACCTTAAATTGTAGTCAACGAGTCCTCCGTTAAGAGCTGCAAACCTCTTCTCAGTAAGGCTGTTGTCACGTCAGTCGGAATATGGATATTTTTTTTTAAAAAAAGGCTGAACTAATTTTCTCTTCCAATGCTGCCATTTTTGAGAATTAATTCCAAATTTCAGAACTTTTTTCAGAATCTGAAAGGCTCGCCGAATTTTTCTCACTCCCTAGAATTTTCTGTTTTCCTCCTTTTTCCTACCGTTAAGAGTATATTTTGGTCAATTCTCACCTATATTTTGGTCAATTCTCACCCTCATTTCGTTTTTGGAAACGGACTTTATCGTGGGTTGATTCCTCCATCCTGTCTAGTTCTGTTTCATTTCTTTTAGAATTAGTGTGTCCTAATCTGTAGCTAAAACGTGTTTCCTGCAATCTATGAATTAGTTTCTCATTTAAATTCATTCCGTAAGTTCACCTACCAAAGTGCTATTCTTTTCATTTACTCCTTTCTTTTTTAGTTTAATGTTTTTTTACCTTGGATATTTTGAAAAAATAAGAAAGTTAAATAAAAAAGTAGAAAAAGCTCCGAATCTTGGAACATTTGTTCAGTCAGACTGTATCTTTTCAGTGCACCATCCTCTAAAGCTCTTTATGACCAACTTTCTGTTGAGAATAGTCAAAACTTTAATTTTGATGGGCACTTAGAATATTCTTTTAACATAACACAGTATAAACAGATAAAAGTAGTCATAAAATAAATAAAAGAAAATATATAAAAATTATTAAATAAGGCTGAACATGAAAAATATTCATTTGTTGAATGAAGCAAGAATGACTGGATGTCTTATGTAGGTATGTGTAACTGATATTTAGATTTTTAATTTTTACAAAAATCAGATCTCTTAAAATTTATCCTCAAAATACTTTAAAGTAAAAAAAAAAATGTATTTCCACAGAAACTTCTCTTTTTCTCTTTTCTGTTGTCATCGGTACTTTTATGTACTTTTTTGTGTTCATCTGTCAGTGAATTTCATTAACCAACTAGCGCTGGAGCTACCTTGAATATGAAAAACCTGGGAGGCTGAGATAACCAAGACCCTACTGTCCTACTGTAAAAAATATTAGATTTTTTAATCCCAAGGCAAGTAATAAATTATCTCCCCATGAGTAAAAAGTTTATATTGTAAAGAGGTGTGTTTCATCTCGATAGCCGAAGAATAAAACAACTTTTGTATGACCTAACCAATATGAAATGTTCACCACTTAATAATAATTCAGTTCTTTTCTAAAACTTGTATTCAAATTTAAACAAGTCATGAAAATATTTTGAATTATAACGTTTTGATAGACTCTCATTTTATCTGGTCACTTTATCCATGCAAAAAAAAAAAAATCAACATAACTGAAATTTTTGCCCTAATTTTTAGAGAATGTTTTAATTACAATCAGGATTTTTTTTAATTCTTTTTTCGTGAAGTATCTCACTCTCAAATATTGAAACTCAAGCATAGGTGTTTCAGCTGTAGGCAGTGATATCCTGCAGGGGGGTGAATGTCAAAATGCGAGAAGAGATAATGGCTCAATCGTATTTTGGCCCTCCTGAAAATATTGTCCTGTCAAGTGAGGGGCCCTTGTGTCAAAGCTTTCATAAGTGCCCATCCTGCCAGGCCAGAAAATACCTAATTCTGTGCACTATTATGCAATGATGATCTCTCTCCAATCATCAGAATTGTTGTTATCTTAATTAATGCCACTTCAAGAGTCGTCAATTGAGATTAATACTTCTCTTATCTGTTTGAAGCCAACTCATTCCATCTCATTTATTTTGCGGTCTCTTACCTTTACGACACTCTCAACTCAGGCAGATTCAGCTTCAACATTTTTCTATTTATTACAATAATATCTTTTCTCCCATTTAAATCACTGAATTTCATTCTTTTTAAAGGAAGTCAATTTTCTCATATTTGTGTACGAATCAATCTCTCAACACAAGTACTTTATTGTGTAGTGGTGTGACATTTTTGGATTTACGGTGTGAATTTCGGATAGTCAACCAAATTTATTATAAGTTTCAATTTACTTCCAAAGAGGTGTGAGGTTTTGCCAGTTTTCTGTGGTTTCAAACTTTTAGTGCATAGATTGACTTTTTCCTATCAAAACCTGTACTAATTAACCTCAAAGTAGTGTTAAGTGAATTAACCAGGGAATTGGTTTCTCTTACAATGACAGCAATGGATTGCATAACGGTATGACTACAATTTTTATGCTTTCAATTCCTTTAGACTACTCTTAGTTCAAATTAAAGTGGTTAAAACTTTGGTTTATATATTTTAAAATCACCTCATGGCAAGTTCTGAATTTTTTTTTTTTTTTTCTTTTCCAAATGGATTATTTTATTTTAATTTACTAACAGCAAAGACTAAGATATCTCCTTTGTTCCATGCATCAAACCTTCAAAAAGTTTACGTTTTCTTATGAATCATAGACTAACGTAAAAAATTAGCGAAAAGTGCTTCAAGCTGCTGTATCCAAGCAGCAGACATAGGCACCAATTAGACGTCTCATTTTTTAAATAAGTACGAACAATAGTTTGTGCCACCCGATTCAAGAATTTTTCCCTTACCAGAAAAATTTTAAAATCAAAACTCTTAATGATTTAAGTTTTTCACTTACATTGTGGTCGTTTGGATTTTCGAGGGGAGTCAGGGTTGGAACCGTATTTCACTCCCAAAGTATCAGCAAACTTTGAATATTTAAAACCAGGTCGATTTTTCTTCCTACAAGTTACTGAAATTTTCCCAGGGGGAAGCATCAATACTGCTATAACACCAAGAAGTATTGTCAGAATCAGTGCCTCCATTTTTGAACCAAGGAGAGGAGTGCTGAGGGTTTTACGTTCTCCTAGTTGGTTAGCACTTATTTTGATCACACGAACTGACAAGGAACACTAAAATTTTTATAAATTAAGAATCAGTAAAATTTCTCTGGAAAGGCAGAACCAAGAGCTCAACAGAGGCCAAAAAACCTGCAAACTTTGTCATTCTGCATTATGTCAGATCATTTATTTTAATTTGATTTTTTTTTCTCTAAACTTTGAATTTCACCTGGTATTGATTTATCCACTTGTAGCCATTGATTCCCAAATATTTGAGCTTTCAGCATCTATTTCAATCCGAGACTGCCGTGAAAGTTAACTCTAAACTTCTAAAATAGCTATGTTTTGAAAAAGATGAGAATACTGCCAATTTAAAAGTACACTGATCTAAAGATTTAAAAGAAGTAAGGAAATTAAAAATTTCAAGTCATCTTAGTTTCCATGGTAACTGAAATTCAATAGGTATATTGAGGTTATACCTCCAAGAAAGACATCAAATTGGAATTTCAACATCATTAGTAGTTGCTAGAGTACCTATATTGAGAGAGTATGGCCACTGGGGTTACCACCTCTGATTGGCTCAGCCATCTTAGGCTGAATGGAGCCCTTAGGACCCAAAAATGGCGGACGCCATAAATTAATGTAATGCAAAATGACTCAAAATGTAGTTTTCTTTGCTTATCGTAACGAGAAATTTACTCAAATGCACTCTTGCGACTTCTTTACATATTTTTAAGACTAATCGTGTGCAATTTTTGAGAAGAATTATCTTGAATGTAGTAAGGTTGGCAGCAAGTACGGTTGGTGGTAACCGTCAAAAGTTGGCAATGACCCCCCTCCCATCCACAAAAACCAAAACAAAGCACTGCCATTTTTGGGTCCTAAGCCTCTCCATGGGGCCCAGTGGCCATACTCTCTTAATATAGGTACTCTAGTAGTTGCTGGTACATGTTGAGGCTCTGAGGAAAATCTGAAGAGTTGTCACTCAGGAGTTATACACAGGAACTGTCACTCAGGAACAACTGAGGTTTTAGCAATTAATGGTTTCTACCATGGAGGATTATTTTTCTCAAAATAACTTGGTGACACGAATTTGCTTAGATATGCCTTATGGGAACATTGAGGTCCTTCAGTTTCTATGTAAGCCTTTCGGGGGGAGAAGGGGGGGGGGTCAAGTCAAATCCAATGTAAGTGTCTCTTGTAAAAAAGAAAAAAGAAAATCCAATAAAAATATTTTTCAGACATTTTTTGTTTTTCCGTTGTTCTCTGAAACAATAAGAGGGGGGGGGGGCAGGCTAGTCCCAAAGGTACCTTACAAGGAGGAGCGGGGGTCAAGAGCTGACCAGAATGCCTTACCTAATACTTGGGTTACCATTTTCTATTGCAGATCTGTTGGATTGCATTTTGCAAAAAGGAACCACTAGCATTGCAATGTTGCTAAGATTGTGCAACTTCTTTTGTCTTGGAGGAAAAACCCAATTATCCCTTAATAGTTTCTATTTTACTCGCTAAAAACTGTAAATTTAAGACAAAAATTACCATCTAAATTTCATAGTTTTTCACAATTTCCGCAATTTTATTGCAAAGGATGAAGTTGCACAATCTTAGCATCATTGCAATGCTAGTGGTTCCTTTTTGCAAAATGCAATCCTGTTGATCCTGGTCTCAATCCACTGCATTTTACTCTATCTTTCAAATGAGACCATTATCAACTTGATAGGCAAACAAGTTTTTGGAATACAGCCTTAGACCAGGTATTTACAGGACAGCCTTTTTGTAATACTTGTGCCACAAAGCACCCTGAAACCCAGCTTTTCCAACCCAGAAAAATCAGGATGGTCACTATCAATTGCAATTCTTCACTTTTTACCTTACAGGTGGAAACATGCAAACCCTTCATGTGCCTTTCCTCAAAACTAGTGCTGTGCCGCAAGTCAGGTCAGAATGTTCCATGCAACATAGATACAGCCGTCAACCAAGATAGGCTGAACTTTCATCAGACGCTCTTACGAATAGGGAACTGTGACAAAGTATATGGACAAGAGCACATCAAACAGGTACGTAGTCTCTTTTAGCTCTTTTGATTTGTACTTGACAAGGTGTTTTGTTCTTTTAATTTTTAATTATACCTTACTTTCTTGTATTGCGTACATTTTGACTAACAGAGAAATGCCTTATTTATTCTTAGCAATTTGTCTTAAATTCAGGCAATGGAGAATTTGCATGCAAATTTTTTATTGCTTCATCTGAAAGTGCTTAAAGAGCTGATTTCATAGTATTTTTTATAGTTTTTTTTTTCTGATATGGGAAATAGTATAAAAATAGATTTAAAAGTGAAAAAATGCACCGCCTACTGATGTCATCAGGCAGAATTTCACATTTAAACACACGTATTTTAGCAGATTTGATCATTTTGTCATATCTTCTCAAATAACTGTTCAATTCATGAACCAAGGGTATCCTCGTGTTCAGTTCACTTTGTAGTTTCTATTTAAACCAGAAATTCATCAAATTTTAGACACCTGCAAATTCTCTATTGAGTCATCTGTGTCGGGTGGCGTTTAATCAATTGTTTTAAGAATAGGTATGAAATAGGGTGCTGAAATCTCATTGGCAATTTTCACTTTTTCCTATTTATGTCTACTTGTTTGCTTTTATCTTAATCCTTACCATTGCCATCAAATTATGACTTCATACTGCAAAAGTGGTTAAAAGTGATCCAAGATAAATCTGATCTTTGTTGTATCGAAGATAATCAGTCGCACAAAGTGTAATTGAACAGGATCATCCAACATTCATATATTGATTAAGATCAGCTTTTTGTGTCTACTTGACACATTTTATCATTATTATGCCGTGCTTTATTTTCATTTAATGTTACGCCCCAAAGCAAGCGTCCTGCATAACAATTATTACGTCTATTATTCTTGGCGAGCTTTTGCTCCTCGTAATATTTTAACTTTAGTGGCTGCTAAATAGTCAACCATAGTTATAAATATCAGGCTTTTTGATCCAATCAATATCATAATTTTCAAAACACTGTTTCAATTTCCAATTTAACCTCTTAAAATACTGAATAGTGTACTTTTATTGTGTGTTTTTTTTGTCCCTTCTCATGATACACAGCAAATGCTGGATGCAGAAACATGTATGCCACAAAATGACGTCTGGCAGAGCGAACTGAAAGACTTGCTTTGGTTGGAACTTCGGGCATACTTGGCAGATCGCACGCCCAGTGAGCAGGATCAGTTTTTCTGTAGAGAAAGAGAAGGAATTGGTGATTTACTCAAAAGTATCATGGAATTCAGGCTGGATGAAAAGTCTGTAGTTACAGATGCAGAAAATGGTGAGGGCCAGAATTTTAGACATGTCCTTTTATTCTGTATAATCTTGCTGTCTTGTATTCTTCTATTCTTCCAATACATTTTCATCATACAAAGGGGAAAGTCAGGGAATTCAAATATTTGGAGTCAGGATAAAGCCGGAAAAGTCCAAGAATGAGAACATGAAGCAATCGGCACATGAAGCATGGAAACCGTGATCTTGGTTTGTAACATTGCAGACTTCCTCTTGCACTTTCTTTAAATCAGGAATCTATTCAGGTATTTTCTGTCAAATGTCCATGATTTTCTTCTGCATGAAGAGTATTACATGAAAATGAGCAAAAAAGTTGGCTTATTCTCCTTCGAACAAATTTTGGAGTGAAGGTTTTAAAACATCACAATTGAGATGTAAGTTTTTTTAAGTCTAGCCATCAATATGTGTAACTATCGGTGGGAAAAAGGATCCGATTTCTGAAAAACGAAAAATGGGCCACCAGACAAGGTATTAATTTCAGTTTTCTTGCATATTTCTGCTTTAAAATTTTACCGAGAACACGATTCATGCAACGAATATTACTGAAGTCAATTCCTTATCAAGATATTAACGTTTTTACTCAGTAATGGTTACAAAACAATTTAATTTTCTGCTCTCAAAAAATTTCCAAGTCTACAAGAATCAAATCACGTTTTCTAATGGTTTTGGCTTGCTACGGAATCAATCAGTGTTCCTTTCCTGCCCTGTGTTGTTCAAAATGTAAGAAACAAGCAACAGTTGAACCAAAGTGCCAAGTTTAAGAATGACAAAATAATTTTCATACCGCAGAGACTGTTATGGTAATTTTTAGTGTGGAGTTAAACTCAAGTAGATTATGGTTTTTTCAGGGGCGAGAAGTTTGAATTCGTTAACATCAAGTTAACATCTTCATCAGGAGTTACTTCCAGTAATTTTCGTTGCACAAATTGTGTTCTACATAAAATCTTGATGAGGTCATATTTATTATTATACTTGAGTTTACACCCAGTCTCATGGTTCATTGAGATATTGGTATCACTTACAAAAATAATGTTTTCTTACACATTGGCACTTACAGATATACTGATAAGTGTCAAATCAAACAGGGCTATAACAGTTTTCAGTTCAAAAATTGTACTTTTGAGAAACAATTATTTTAAACTTTATAAAAATGGAAATACCAAGGCATGAAGTTAAAAGCTGGTTTTCATCCTCATCATCTCATTGTTTTAGATGGTAAATCGCATTGTTCAAAGTGGTGTTTCAAAATGTTCTGTACGAATTGTCAAGAGGTCCAAAATGTAGCCCTGCGGCGGATAGAATCCCTTCTTTTTAAACTGGAAAATGCAGCAGCCCTTTATCCTTCAAGTCGAACTTTCGGGATCCACTATCCACTGTACGTCAGCAAAGAGTTCACTGCCAAAGTCAAGGTAAGGCTCTTTCAAGTTTCAGTGGTTAAATATGTTTTAATCTTTCTGCTCAAGCACTTACTTTTTCCAAGTCTGCTGATATCGCTACTAGAAGTACATTCTTCTTGCACAACTTATCAACCAGTATGTAGAATTTAACAGAAGGTTGGGAACCAAAACAAGAGATTTAAATGGATTTCATTTTGCAATTTGGAACTACAATTTCTGGCTCAACTTAGAAACATAGAGTACATAGAGTCGTAATGTAAATGGGAGAGCTGGCGCCATGTTCTGCTCGACGAATTCCGAGCCCGGTGTGCGCCGAGTTCGGGTCGCTTTTTCGATACATTTTCGATCCAAAATGGCGGTATGGAATACGTGGTAATTCCTATCTCCTTTGTTGTTGTTGTTGTTGTCATCGGATGGCCAGGTACCCATGTATTGCAAACAATCAATTATGTATCGAAAAAGTGACCCGGCATCACACAGGAGTCTCGGAATTCGGGACATGGAAAATGCTTAAAAGTGGCGCCAGCTCTCCCAATTACATTACGACTCTATGTACTCTATGCTTAGAAACAACATATGTACCATCAGTTTCCATTTGCACATAAGTGTTTTTACGGATGAGCCAGAAATTTAGTTTCTAATTGCTGAATTCAGTCCAAATGTTCATCTATTCATCAAAGTGTGCAATTTTTTTAAATTCAGTCAAGCAATTGGTCTGCATTTTGCAATTTGGAACTTCATTTTCTGGCTCATTATAGAAACAACATATGCGCTATTAGTTTTCCTGTGCAGATAGGTGTTTTACATATGAGCCAGCAACTGTAGTTCCTAATTACACAAAGTAGTCCAATTGGTCAGATTTAACTGGAATTAATCTAACTACATCAGACATTGCCTAGTTGCCTTTTATATTTTATTTTTTCAACGTACATTTTTCATTAGCCAAGATAAATGTACAGAAAGTGTCGAGGCATTATGTTGTTTAATTCTCTGTGAAAAAAAAAAATTAAAAGAAAAAATAAAAAAATTAGAGGAAATTAGGCAACATGAATTGCAGTTTGATTGATTCCAATTTCATCCGTTCAATCTTTCGGCCTCGGATTTGACATAGATATTTCACAATTCTCTGTAATTGTAAAAAGAGCATCATTGCCAAGTGGGACTCTAACTATGCTTTCATATGTTTATGATCTACCTATGTATAGAACCATAATGTTCTGAAGGTAAATGCCAAGTTCTAACTAACTTCCTATCTATCCAGCATGTCAGGAGATTTTACCAAAATGTGTGAGAGAAATCAGGGAATGTCATTTTCTGAATTTGTTGGCAACCCTGGATAGAATGACTGTTTAAATTCTAGGGCTCATCTCCATTTGCAAATCTGCAAAAAGTGGAAGGTGTAAGGACCTCTCATATTTTTCCAAGTTCTTATCTCGGTGGCCAGGCTATCTCCAAATAATGTAGGATTTCAAGTGGAGTATCTAGCGTCATTCTCATAATCACACCATCCGTTGAAAAAACAAAATAAATAAAAGAATGAAACCGTAGATAAAGATTCTATTTTTGCATGCTCACTATGATTTGTCACTTTGAGCTGAGCTTTACATTTTTCAAGCACTTTTAAATCAAGTGGCTCAGGAACCTTTCAAACTAAACTGTTGAATTCTTGAGATAACACCCTCTCCCATTCGCCCTGAAAAATTTGTCAGATTGTTCGTAAGCTGAAAGGGTTAGGATTTCTATAAATTTTCTAAATCCTCAATTAATTTTCTGTAAAATGATGAATATCCACAAGGCAAAGCGTAATTAAGTAAGCAATGATATGACTCTATTCCAGGTTTTTTCAACTTTAATCTTTTTATTTATTTTTTTGCTTTCCTTTTTTCAATATTCCAGACCATGTGTTTATGGTACAATCTAATTAAGCATATGAGACTGAAATTTCTGATCCTCTGCAGACAATTGATTCAGGCAGAAGAGCTGAATTTCTCAAATCCAGAGCAACTTTTAAAGTAAGTATCCACTTTTTGTATTTAAACGTAAAATACCTTGCATTGTGCAAAAATTACTTTTCACTTTAAAAATATGGAAACGTTAACTTAGCCTCAGCTATCTTTTTTTTTTTTTTTTCTATGATTCACTCTTTGTTTATGCTGTAAGTTGTACGAATTGGAGTATGAAAAAATGAATGAATAAAATAAAAAAGTAAGCGTTAAAATGATAATATAGTTCAATCTGAACATCAACAGGGGGAAAAGTCAGTCGTTTGGATGATTTATTGTCTCATAAGGGATGAACATCATGTTCAGAATTCGTGTTAAGCTGACTGTGTGTGTACTAGAGGCGAATTTAATGTGGCAGTAATGTGTCAAATGTAGATATATCGAAGCTAGGTCAGAGTTTATGTTACAAGGTGGTAAAACAGTGCTAGGTCCACACTATTTTTATTTCACACCCAGCACTATGTCACCACCTTATAACATACAGTTCGGGCCACATTTTTATGTTTTTTCTTGTTAGGGTTCATGTTTCACATAGTATTAACACTGTTTATCAAAGAAAATGTCAATCATGGGAGTGCAGTGACATATGTTGAGCTCTGAAACAAGAGTTTGTCAGGTACTACTCTGATCTGTGTACAGAGCTGGGAGTCATGTCGCTTGATACAATCAGTGGCGTTGCCAGGAATTCCTTAAGGGAGGGGGGCGAGGGTCCATTTACATTATTTTTTGTATGTCCCTGATAATATTTTATGTCTGCTCTCCAAAAGTAAAAAAAGAGGTAAAATTAACGAGGCTAAGGGGGGGGGGGGTCCAGACCCCTGGACCCCGCCTTCCTTGTCTACACGACTGGATACAATTAGGGGTCCGCGAAGCTTCGCATCGCTTCGCAAAACGGAGCGCGAGGTCGGGAAAAGCGAAGCGAAGCGAAAATTTCGCGGTAATTCAAATTTTCGCGCGCTTTCGCAATTGATGCCGAATGCCGATGGGTGCGTTCTAGAATTCATCTTTTTGAGTAGCGATTCAATCCAAATCCATCCAAGCGTTCCTAGGTCCCGTGATTCCATCCATGTTCCACTCGGGGTGATGCATCCAAGCGTTCTTGGAACTCGGAGTGAGTGACTCATGACGTCATTACTTGTTCATCCAAATGCATCCGATCAACCCACCTCGGGAGATGGATTTAGCCGTGACTCTCGGTGACTAACCTCAAAAAGTTCATCTCATCGTTAGAATTCCGCCAAAATTGTTAGCATTACTTCCAGTTAGTACAGTACAGTGAGTAGAGTTTGTTCCATTTCTATTTATTCCATTCATTTTCTATTCATTTTATTCCATTTCCATTTCTAACGGTTTAATAAATGTCACTGTTTTTGAACTTGTTTTTCAGTATTAAGCATATCAATTTTCTAAGGTGAGATTTGTGTACTTAATAATATCTCAGGTCTTTTATCTTATTTTTCTGTAATCTCGATAGAATTACAGGAAAAAATTGCAAGTTCGCGAGTTTTATCTTTATTTCTTGTGATTCTCAAGCTCAGATGAGCTGTAGTAAATACTAAGTTGTCTTTTATTTTTTTATTAGAAAATTAATTTTTTTCGTACTTTTGTTTCATTACCTTTCAGTACATATATAACTTTAATAAAATGTTAGTAAATACTAAATCGGCTCTTATTTTTTTATTAGAAAACTAATTTTTTTCGTACTTATGTTTTATTACCCTTCAGTTCATATATAACTTTAATAAAATTTTGTTTCACCTACAATACAGGTTTATTCATTTGATTTTTTCAGTGACTGAAAAGCAGACATTGATTGTGAAAGTCCGAATATCTCAATTTGAATTGTTGGAAATAAATTTGTTGTCACCTTTTGTTTTTTACAGGGAAAATAACCAACGCAATTCTTTTAAATTACTCCTGGTTCTTCTTCACCACATGAAGATAATATTTTGTGGACGTTTTAAGCAATACCATTTCTCACTATTTCTTTAGTAATTTGAAGACGCAATGAAATGTTAATTAGCAGAAATTGAGAAGTTGGAACTTTCACAGTCGAAATGCATTCCATTTACTCACAGTAAATTTTAAAAGTACTTAACGACTTAAATTTTCACTCCTTTGACACCAATGTAGATTGTCATTTCAATTTTTTCTTAGCCATGTAGCAGAGGCAAAAAAGAGGGTACAAAAAGCTCAAAACATTTGGCTCAACAAAAAGGAAGCAAGTCCATGGTTTCTAGAAAAAAAAATTCGATAGTATATTTTTACGCTCGACGCTCGTATCACAACAGGTAACATGCCATAACCTCAAACACAAACAAAAACAACTGCATTCATCCAAGCGTTCTCTGGGATTCTGTGTTTGCCGATCCATCCGACTCCATCCGTGTCGTCATGACCTACGTCATCTCCGTTCGTCTCCGTTTTTTGGATTCAATCCAAGGATGAATTCTAGAACGCACCC